AATGTAATAAAGAAGGTATTTTAACAGGAGAAGATAAGTGTTGTGAATCTTCTTCTTCACGGACAGTGGTGGAACGTTACTAAGTACTTTTACTCAAGTATTGTACTTTCTAATCCACTTCATTAGTCTGGCAGCTTTAGTTAATTTTCAGATAACACATTTTCATGCCCTCCCTGTAAAACCATGTATCTCCAAACTTGGTGATTTTGACCAGAAACATTCAAAATCTGAAGGATCAAGTGTCTCTTTGAACAAATCCTCCTCCTTCTTAAGCTAAATAAACAATTAAACCCCTCCCATCCCCCAATGGATCTGCTGGAAAATGTGTAGTACAAAGCTGAAGACATCTGAAAGGCCTGTTTTTCTGAGTGGACTTGACAGCGACACTACCCAACAGGAGGCCTATGTAAAGTAGTTAACCTTAAACAGTAAAATGCAACAAGCACATCAATGCACTAGTACTATTAATCCAAAAACATCAAACATACTCAAACACTTATGGGGACCATTTTATTCTTACTTACTCTTTTCTTTATTACAGATTTAATAATTAGCTTGATTGTTTAACTGAATGTAAACAGGTCAAGCTTTAACTACATTTCAGTTTGTGGTTAGTGAGATACTAGAAGTAGCAGTAGCTACAGCTGCTGTGGACCTGAAGAATACGATTCATGACGATACTGTACGCTAACACGAATGACCCCATTATTTCTGTTTTTTCTACTCACATCTGTTCACCCGCTTTCCTCCTCCACTGACCAAACAGTCCCTCACTCTCTCTGTCTCTGTTTGTTTCCATTAGTCTCAGTGGATGATTAGCGACATTATTAATATCATATATATTTTAACATGATTATAACCAATTTGAAAAGGATGCACACCAGTCTTTACAAGACTGAATGTGTTCTTACTGATAGTTTACAACAGATCTAGAAAGCATTATCAAATGGTTTATTAACCAATAACAAAGTCGTCAGTTACAATTAACTGTGCTGAGTTTATTCACAAAGAGAGTGTGCAGACTGCAAACTGTCCTATAAAATGTAAAATCTTAACGACTGGATGCTGCTGTGCATTGACTAAAACTCTCTCCAGGTCAGTGGACAGTTGTGAACCCTGTGTCTACTTGGTTTTGGTTTTATGAACAAACTGAACAAAAAGTGAGTAACTGACCTGAAGACAAAGAGGCAATATTATCCAGTAGATGTCATGACCCACATGTTGGGAACCAATGTTCTCAGTTATGCAATTATTTGGATATATAATAATTATAATAATACATTTATTTATTTGTAGTATTTATCCAGACAATATGTTAGTACTTCAAATACATGTCTATTTTTTGCTTAGTGTTTGGGCTCCTATAAGCTTCAGCTGACCAGGGTGTCCATTTTTAAAGATCTGCATTATTTCTTATGATTTTTTCTGTTGTGTGATTAAACTAACTGAAGTGGACAGAAAAGAAGAAGTTAGTGAATCATTTTAACAACATTTCCCTGGTACTTTTAATATAACCAAATTTCATAAGGAACCAGCAACCTTCTTAAGAAGTCACTGTTCCTTTCTAGGAAATTATTATGAAACCATGAGACCTGTATGGGGTTTTCAGAAACCCCCCTCTTTTTCCTGCCTCACATCCCTGTTTTACTTTTAAGTTGTCGTGGTGATGCCATCTTGGTGGGTGCACACAGAGGAGCAGTCAGACAAGACAGAAACATGTTTAATGTTGAAAAAGACGTTGCTGATCAGCGGGGGAGATTATAAAACGCCACAGACTGAGTCAAATTTTTCACATAATTTTGGCCATTGTGTGCAGTAATCTGGACATCTGTTTGGAGGAGCTACCAAGCGTATCTGCCAGGCAGCTGCTCTTTGTGTTGTCCTGAATGTCACGGACATGAACGCAGAAGAGACCTTGGCTTATTGCCCCTTCTCCCCCTTTCTCCCCCCCTCTCACCCAGTCAGCCATTTTAGTGCTGAACTCATACAGTCTGGCTGGGCGGTGCAGGAACAACCATCGTTCTCTGCACTCCTGATCCATGCCAGGCAGGAAGCGGCCAGGACAGCTGCTTGCAATTCAACCTGAGACTTTGTTTGGGTGACCTACATTATGGCACCATGTGCTTTCTACTGTAACTTTAATGGCATATTTTCTTTTTCTCTTCATTTTCTTGCTTTGCCTGCCTTCCAGTGCTGGGAAGTACATTTCCTTAGTACTTAAGTACAATTTGGGGGTACTTAACTTGTACTTTGAGCATTTCACTTTCATGCTACTCTATATTTCTTCAAGGCACTTTTAATTCCACTGTATTTATCTTGCAGCTACAGCTACTAACGACTTTTTTAGATCAAGACTGTACATTAAAGACCTATGACAGGCTTATAAAATACAACACATTGGTTAAGATTAAACCAGTCATTCCCAGTCTTTTTGGCTTGTGACCCCTTGTTCTTTGGGCTGCTTGTCACCTTTCAGATGAGTTGTTAGCAGTTCCTTAAACCTCTCAAATAGTTTCATTTAAATAACAGTTTGAGGCCCAAATGGGTCAAATTATCCAATATTTAAAAAAGCCAAGTCTAACAAATATATTCAAATGTGTGAAGCAGGATTTTGTTTTCTCCCATTAATCATCTCACAATCCCTCAGGTTTATTTTGTGACGCTTTGGAGGGGCCCAACCCCTAGGATGAGAATCACTGGACAACTATCTAACTGTATATAAAATTTAAAACTAGTTCCTTCAGCAAAATATTAAAAATGCTTTTGTTAAAAATAGTTCTGTAGTTTTACTTAAGTGGGATTTTGAGTGCAGCACCTTTACTTGTATTGGAGTATTTTTACATCAATGTATTTGTACTTAAGTAAAGGATCTTACGTCTTCCCTTACTGCAGCCACAATCTTTATCTCCTACAGAACAAACTCCCTTCCTGCAGAAGCATTTTAACAAACTGACAGTATCCATGAGTAATAATAAATTGTCCTGATGCCAAAAAAATAATTAATCAAGTTGCATAAAAGCAAACAAATTTCCCAAGTATCCTACCAAGGCAGCCATGTTGCATGTGGTATAGGCTACTGTCCAACTAGAAACAAACAAAGATAATTGCAGCCTGCAGTGCCAGTTCTCATACAGTCATTCACAGTTCAAAACGATCAGGCTGTGTAATTTTGCCAAACATGCTAGCCAGGGTGCCCCGCGCTACAGGAACAGCCTTATCAGGGAGCGGTCTTTGGGAACGAGTTGCTGAATCAGACCCTCCACAAACTCTGCACCGGGGCACAACTCATCCTCCTGCACCCCCATCCCAGTTGTATCTGGCAGGAAACCCTCCCTGTTTCTGGTCTGAGGTTGAAATTACAGAAGCATGTCAGCTAATCCTCATCCTCCGCCCCTCCAACCTACCAGACTGACCTCACCTAGAGTCCCCCTATCCTTCTAAAACACCCTAAGCCTCCCTCCCTCCATCGCTGACTTCTGCACAATAAGCATCTGGTTCTCATTTCCCCAAAACCAAAACAACACGAGGAGGAGAGGAAGGGAGGGGGGGGGGTTGTTGAGGAGAAAGCAGGATGTGAAAAGAGAAAGAATGAGGAGTTACATTTATCACTGTTTGTGCAGTTGGAGGTCTTTGATGCAGGTGCAGGTGTGAGAATGTGCACGAATGAAGAATGTCTCAATGCTCAGTGTTCTCCCACACCTCTGTAACACAACAGTCAGCTCCTTTGGTCAACTGCACTCAAAAAAAGGTTAAGACAAGGAGAGGAGGGAGAGGGGGGAGAAAACTCCCATCCTATCCACAGAAAAGAATCTGCAACTCAGCGGCTGGCAGCCCTAATTACAGTGGGGCTGTGCTGAAGTCTGCAACAAGACAAAGAGAGAGAGAGAAAAATAAAAAGAGGCAGAAGGAGGGGGAGAAATACATGAGGGAGAGGGCTGATGGCGAGAGGGGGGAGAGAGGAGAGCCTTTTTGTAAATAGTCTGTTTATAAGACAAAGTCACTCTAAATTAGTGCTGACTTAACAAACACAGCTACTCAGCGTCCCTTTACACCATACATGCATACGACACAGAGTTCAGTTTAGTTCAGTTCAGAGTCTCTTGAAAATACTTACATCAGTGTTGCAATAATGGTTTTTCAAGGGGTACAAAAAGTCCCTGCAGGAGCTGCTCAAGAACAATTTCAAAGACACACATAAGAAGAGGTGGAATTCAATTTCATGCAACGTCCTCGTAGCCAATTTGTGTTTTCTGCTTTTAAAAATTGGGATGATGCAAAAGACAAGTGATTCTGCAGCTTAAGGCTTTGTGCGGCTTAAAATGTGAACCGATACCGGTCAAATATCATATTCGGTGGGATGAAACTTTCTGCCAACTTGGCCGCAGCCAGCTAATCATCTTTCCAGACACCCAGGCTGCAGAACTGTACAGTCGAAATTCAAACTTCTCCCTCTGTAGGTAGAGCTGCCCCATGAAAAATAAGACCCAAGAGGCTTTAAATGAGTAACACAAAGCTTGGTGTGAAACACCCCAATCTTTCCAAGAACCAACAAGATCATGTTTTACTTTTAGTTTGTTGTTTTTGGAGCGGATTTATTTTCAGTCTTGCTACTAAAATTGTGAATTTTTTTCTGGAAACGGTGTCACAGAAGTTTCTTTTTTTATTGGCTCTCTACTTAAACTTAACAAAGCTGCTACCCCGAGGTGGACTTGACTAAAAAACTTGATGTATTTTGAGTAATTCCACTGAGTTACTGCAGCATGCCAAGGTGTGAACCCCCCTCTAACACACATATATACACAGTTAGGCCCTGAATCAGTGCTACTTTATGTTTGCCAGCTCCTCCCTTCCTCCTTCTGCCCAACAAAACTCCTCTCTGAGTCCAACACCAGACAAAATGGCGTCACACTGCCTTACAGAGGAGAAACACTGCATTCTAGTGGAAGCTGAGAGATATATATATAACTCTAATAATAATAATGATGATAATAAACAATCCATACACGCCAACGCTCGTTTACTGGACAACAGATTCATATTTAAAGCATAAATCAGAACAAACATTTAGTGCAGGAATTCATGAAAAGTAAAAAACACATACTGTGAAGCAGGAGAAAACCCACAAGGATATCATAAATACATTAGATATGCTGACTATCAACCGATCGCAGCAGTTTTTGATTACGATGACATGTTTCTAACTTTGAGATTTTGTCTTCATTAACAGCTTCCCTTTAGGTTTGAGTAAAAGAGACTTCTTGTGCTCCTGCATTCTTGCAGCCTCTTCCTGTTTTTTACTCCACGCCTCTATCCCTCTGTCCACCTCCGAGTTCAGCATCACAATACGTCTCTGCAAGAGAGGACACCAAGGTTACAGATAAAAGCGTGTAATAAAAACACAGAAAGAGCGATAAGTAGATGCTTTAAAACAAAATAAAAAAGGCAAATGTGTTGATACGCACAGCTAAAACTTCCCTCTCTTGCTTTCTTCTCAGCTGTCCCTTCAGAGGAGGCGCTGCTCGTCCATCTGTCCAGATACACAAACAACAAACACACACACACACACACACACACACACACACACACACACACACACACACGAGATTACAACATGTGCTAGAAGTAGATCACAACATTTTCACTGTTATCTCCAGAAAGAGAGAAAAGGATAAAGACTTGTTTTCCCTAAACAAATTACCCTGAATTTATTAAGATCAATGTCAAGTGAACTCCTTCACTCTACATAGAAACAATAAGTGTGAATCACATCTCTGTTGAAGTCTTCTCCCTCGCTGCCTCGCTACGTGAGCACTGAATTAGGCCTCTGTTGCTTGAAAACTGCTCCTAATATGTGTGACTCCACATAAAAATCAAATACCTGCAAACGACCAATCAGGCAGATCTGTCAGGGGGCCATATTCTGTGCCGCTTCGGGGAAGTCCATGTCTGCAGGCAAACACAAACATTATGAGGACGTGAAATTAGTTGTTGCTTACTGTGCAGTGTTGCTCCAAAAACAGCCTGATCCCAAGCATAACACTGCACAGACAAGGGGAGAACTTATGTCTCATAGGGGCTTGTATTTTTTAGCAGGTTAACCCAGAGGCATGTTGCAGAAAACTACTGGTGCGATTAGTTTTAGTAGGATCTGGACACATGTTCCCCTTGGATCCAGCGGCGTCTTCTCACTATGTGTCTCAGCCTGTGTTGGCAGCAGGAGGACAGTTAGCTCACCTCCCAGCACTTAACTGCTGAGGGCTGAATATCAATAAATTACTGTTTTCAATACACTCACACTGACTTGCCCATATTAGAAATAATAAAAAAGTGTCCTGACTTGGTCGCATGTAGCACAATTCTATTGATTGCTAATGCATACAGTAGATTATTTATTATTGCATAGGCCAAATAGGATTCACATCTTCATTATGTCTTCTTCTATTTTTATTTCCAGTGCAGTGATACATTTTGGTATTGATATGAAGTCACTGTGTCACAATACAACACATATAAAAGTTATTCATAAAATAGAAGAAGTATTAAAATCTGGCATTAAGAGGTGTCTGTTATTTGTCTGGTGCATAATTACTGGTATTGATTTGGAGTCACTGGGTCACATTACATGAACGCCACTGGGAAAACCGACGTTTTCTATTAAAATTATTTAGGTAAAATACATTTTACACATTAAGTGTTACAAATACACATTAGCAATCAAAATAAGTCTATCCCACAATGACTTTTTGTGTCATTTTTCCAGTGTGAGTGCACTGCATACTCACTAAGAGTAAAGAAAGGGACACAGCATCAACGTGTCCACAGTGGGAAGAAGGAACACCAACAGTGAACTTACTCTTTCCTCCATTTCTCTCCAGCCTGTACTCCACATGTTGTGCTGAGCTGCCGGCTGGAGTGCCTCAACACTGAAAAACAGACAAATCAGCCCCTGAAGTCAGAAAGTTAAGACACCCACACTGAATTCAGCTGTATCGGTACAGTTTTTGTAATTCTTGTGACCTCATTCTTGTCATACATTTTAAAAAGTCACCCAACATATGACAGACACATTTCTGAATTCCTCAGGGTGTCTACTCTCTCTGTATAAAGAAATTAAGTGTGGATGGATATTTTGACAAAGCACGGTTCACCATTTTGTTGTAGTTGACACAAAACTCATTTGGTAATTTGGGACACAGTTTTATTAGTGTATGCCCCTGCTGTAACTGTAATGATATATTTCAGTATGAAGTATTGTAAACATATTTCTTAAACTATCCATAAATTATATTAAATTTAACTAAAGATATGTCTATGGTTACTTTATATTACATATTACCCTATGATTTGTTATGATGGCTTCATTTATTATCAACTAATGTCAACAAGCTAGGCTATTGATTAAGATGTTTAAATGATTAAAGAATAAATGAATAAAACAAGATTAATTTTATTTATGTATCTGTTTCTGGGTGCCATTCTACTGCAACAGAACGTTAATTCATCATGGATAAGTATAAAACACTAACAAAGTGAGTGGGCTTTGCTAGATTAGACTTAATTATTTGTTATGAGCCTTTCATAAACATATTAAACACTTATTGTTTGTCACACAGTTTGGGGTATTAGCATCATTGACCATATTACCCTATGTACTTAAAAGTTGCCTGTATGTTGATCTACATGTGAGGCCCCTCTTTGTATGAGGTTGTATGAATCCACATTAATGATACATCTCATTTCAAAAGCCTTTTAACACAGCTGAGACACATCTCTAATCAATAAGTAAACACGCAGTTATGTGGTTTCTTTTTCTCCTGAGTGGGTTAGCTGAGTAACCTTGCAGAGGAATAACCCACAACATAATAAAGTCTACTTTAAATCTACTTTCCTCAGGAGTTTGCTGGACAGAGACGTTAGCATCAGCGTTAGCCTCGAGACTCATTACCGTATTTACGGTGGTTATTCAAACACGCAACTGCATCTAAATCAGCGACTGGTACAAGAAGATGTTATATATTTACAGCAACGAAACTCAGCTTTTGGGGTTTTAAAAGGTCTCTCTCTCACACACAACAGATTTACAGAATAACCTCTGTCCCACCTGAACAGCACAATGTCCTCACGGGGGCCGCCATGTTTGTCTGCACTGCTGTGTGTTGACCAGCAGGTGAGGCTGAAGATTCACTGAGAGCCACTTTGTTTTCAAATGAGAGTTTAATGTTTGGTGACTGAAAATTAGATTTTATAACTCCAAAATAAACAAAACTAAGCTCCGAAGGTTATTATAAGCTCTCAGTTTGTTATTTTTCTCATCTGGATTATATCTCACGTTGATTTTGCTGATTTTTGTTGTTGTTGTTTATTCAGTCATTAAAACCTGTTTCTATTCATTTATTTAGTTCATTAAAGAAAAAACAATAGGACCTATATTCAAGTTAATCACACTTGATTAGAATATTATAATTGTACCAGTTGTTGGGGATACGAATATTTTCTCTTTATCTGTGTTAATCCATACATCACTATACATCAAAGAGGCTTGAGCACTGCTTACACTGTTGAATCGTTATCTTAATGAGTAATTTAGATATTTGGATTCCTTTGGCCTAGGCCGGATTACCAAATAGCCAAAGCATGCAGCTGAGCTGCACTAGGACCCCAGAGACCCTAGGGCCCCCAAGAGCCCCCAGGTTCACTGTCAGTTCCTTTGTTTGTTTGGTAATCAGATTAACATTGTCTGACGCCATACGTATAATATCAACTGAGGCTGGTCCTTCATTATGACCTTATCTTGTGACCCTGTCCTGTAGAGGGGCCCCGTGTCAGAATCGAGTTACTGCAACATAAATGACACATACAATTTGGGGCCGCATACTATTATTTCAGCATGGGAGTGCTGGTTGGTGTCCAAGCATATAATGAAGCTGCCCTGTGTAGTCTGCTCTGGTCTCCTATGTGGCATTTGGGGTTCAATGGGGGCAAATTTTTGCTGCTGGGCCCCCTTAACAGGCTGATCCAGCCATACCTTTGGCAATCATCATTGAAATAGCATTTTGACATTGTCACAGTAGGACAAGGTATAACTAATTAATAATGTTTGCATTCCATGTAGGCTAGTTATTGTACATGCTGGTCAACTGGACTTACTGGGACACTTAAATACAACATACGTGTTCATCAGTTCAGCTCTCATTTCTGACCCTCTCTCTGACCACAGTCCAGTGTGACCTCTCAAGTCATCGTGTGTTGCTTCTCTGACTGCAGCATGAGATCTAGATTTGAGAGTGTTTCTACTCACTTTGGCCCTGTTCTCTGGAAGAAAGTGAAAATGTTTCTGTTGTTCAGGCTTATGAATAGTTTGTGCGTGTCTGTGGAGTGGATGTCTTGTGGTGGGTGGGTGAATCTGTATTTTTTTTTCTTAGTTTTATCTTTGTTGCTGCTGCACTTTCCTGTATTTTATCTATTGTGCATGTTCCTGTATGCGTTTCAATGTAAAGCACACTGAGTTTACCTGTATTTAATTAATTGAAGCATTAAAGGAGCACGCCACTGATTTCACATGTCAAAGTCAGGGGGACAAGTCATGTGGAGTAGTTTCTCGTCGTTTAATGTGGCCTGAGGCCTCGGATGGGCGTTGTCAAGTCTGAGAAAGAAGATGATGTCATAGTGAAGTCATCCCAGGTTATACCAGCTTGAGACCTAAGAAGTGTGACTCCTCTTTAAAGTTTATGTGTTGTAAGGTTAACAGGCTCTCAGATTGCCAAGGAAGGTCTGGAGTGGTGAAAACATTTACATAGTAACATTTGAGAAATGAAAATCTGTTTTGTATTTTCTGTCTTTTTCCATCCTCCATCATCATGTGACCCCTCAGATTCATATTGGGACCCCTTGGAAGATCCAAACACTTAACGTTACTACCTGGAGTCCTGGAGTTGTTTTGTAGTAGTTGTTTTTTGTTGAAGTGTATGATCCAGGGTTTTTGGAGCTTGATCCAGACTTTTGACTCAGAATCAGGATACCAGGGCCCATGTCACCTCAGATACCTGTTTCACATGAATTCCCCAACTATAAAAAGAAATGCAAAAACACTTTGCCCCTTTGAGTTCAGGTGACAAACATCTGGCCTATTATTTAAAAGAAAACGTCAAATTTCTCCAGGAAACATCTCATTGTTGTGTTTATGTTAAATGTTGAGTTTGTATGTTTTCTAAATAATTACACAAATACACCCTGAGGGGGAAAAAATTGAGGCTGTGAAGGAGAGCACTTGATGGTGTCTTGTCTGTGAGTTTTATAGGCCTAAACATGACTGTATTTCGCTGGAACATAAATGCAGACAGAGCACCGCCGCGCTCGCAGCTCTTCAAAGTATTGCTTTTGTATGAAGTGCTCCGCTACTAAGCCCAGAAGAATTTCTCTGTTAGCTTTTCAGACAAGTTCCCACTCGTAGCCTGAGAGGTAAACGCTGGAGTCTGCAGAGGCTGCTGCAGGGACTCCGGTGAACCGCAAGGGCCATGAAAGGCTGCATGTGGAGGGGAGGGGGACTCCGGGGCTGACAAGCCTTTCCAAACACCATGGTGCTTTATCAGGGATTGGTGTGTTTAGGTGTGTCCGCTAACTGCCACAAACAGCCGGAATTAGGACTGACTAAGGGCGGCCAGCCCTGAAACAGTCGCGGGATGTTTACCCCGTGTCCTCCTTGGAGAACTCAGACACGCCGCAAAAATCCACCAGCCGCCTCACTCCGGCGTGTCCCTCCGCGCATTCCACTGGTGGTACTAAAAAGTAGTGCCGTTGCCTAAACGACTCATTTATTTTCTCATTTCGACAGATTTACAAATGTTTCAAACAGTGGTGGAGGAAGCACTCAAATCTTTTATAACCTAAGCAGCAATACCACCGTGTCAAAGTACTAAATAATGTACACAATGTATAGCTCACTATATGCAATATACAATTAACATTCAATAATAGTAAAGATACACACTGTATAAACACTATTCATTCAATATACAATAGCAATAATGATAAGAAAAATGATAATAATAATAATTGTGTTAAATCTCATACATTCTAACACTTAGTGTAAATTGCATAGAGTTAGAAAAAGTAGCCTACCCATTATGTAGAATAGACCCTGTCATGGTGTGATATTCTTATTATATTATTACTGATGTATTCATGTGTACTGGGCAGTATTTTAATGTTGTAGCTGGTCAACATGGAGCCTATATGTTTAACATATTTATAAGCTGTTGGGTCGATAAATCTCTAACAATGTGTCATATTGAAGAAGATGATCATAGTAGATCAAAAGGAGTAAAAAAGTGCAATATTTTTAGGTATTAGGTAGCTAGACCAAGTGACTTCAAAGTTTAGGCTACTTGAGTTTCTTTCCATCAGTGGTTTAAGACACTAACTTATAGCCTACATTTAAGCTAATTGCACAACAGATTACATTATCAAAAAAAGGAGCAGGCCTCGTTTTTATAGTGATTCAGAGGTTGCAGTCATGTAAGGATCACAAGGACAAAATAATGGCTTTTCTGAAAACAGACTTGTTTATATTTGGCGGTAGTGCGTGGTGGTCAGTTCACTGCAGAGCCACAGCCACATGAATGTTTCTGTATCCAGTGCTCAGTCATAATAAACATAGCCAACTAATGGTTAGACCATTTTCAGATCAGCCTCAGGGCTCAATCAACCGGCTAAGGGGCCTCAGGGCAGAAATTAGTTGTGGGTCCCTACTGACGCCACACATTTGTTCCACAATTTGATTCAGTACATTTTTATGAGTATCCATCATGCAAGCATATAATAAACTGAAATAATAAAGTCTGTTAAATCAGATAAATTTCATCTGGCTAGATGAATGTGATCCTGGTGGAGACACAGGCTCCTAAATCCCTCTTTCTTTTTTTTCAAATTTGAACTAACTTTATGCTTTTGTGGTGTCTGATATAGTGAGCTGCTATATAAATAATGTTTACCAACTTACTTTTACTATGGAGGAATGTTTGTTTGTTTTTTTCTTATTTCATAGTCATCTGTCAACATTTAGACAAATGATGCTGTCTGAAATCTTCTAAAAGTCAAACTATAAAAATGCTTGCATAAGTAAAATTTTGAAGTACTTGTACTTTACTGGAGTGTTTCCAATTTTTTTAGACTTCTACTTCACTACAATTCAGAGGGAAGTATTGCACTGCTATATAATCCAGATCTTCTTGTTACTAGTTACTTTGTAGATTCCATATATATTATAATGCAAAATAAAAATTAACAAATAAATTATAATATATCATAATTGATTAAGCTACACGGCAATAGCTAGGCAATATAAAGTAGTTTATATAGGCTTTATATTGGCAACTTTACCAGCTCCAACATGATGCTTTCACCTAAATGGATCATCATGATCATAATCCACTGACATATTATTATGAAATGGGCCAGTCTACCTAATGAGTCATTTTAGGCTACTTTAAGTAGGCCTATTTTAACATTTTGATGCTAATACTTGTGTACTTTTACTTTTAGCAGAGTGTTTTAAACAGTGGTAGCCTATTGCTACTTTTACTTAAAAACAATATCTGAGTTACCTTCTTCTTCTTAATCCAATGTCAAACCCCCACACATTTTAAGCCAAATATAAGACATGCCCTCAGCAGTAGCCACGGCCCTGCGTGGGTTGAGATCTCAGTGAAAACAGTTTTATTTTGGTTTGACAACTGATAACCCAATTTGCTGAGGCTGAAAGAAATTTAAGTGAGTGGACATTTGGTTATCCCACGCCCCCAAAGAGCAGGTCCCATGGTCAAAGTAAACATTATAAAGCATCTTTTTTATCTATCACCCTCATTATATTTGGTCTTGGCGGAGGGGGCACGTCCTCTGAGGGAGGTTTGCGTATGAATGACGACATAGCCATGGCTGGTGGAAAGGTGTTCCGGCCTGGTGGGGGAAACGAGCCGCGGCAGATTATAAAGGAGCAGTGATGCGTCAAGCTGAGCACGCCGACCGAACGCGGAGCAACGGCCGATCACTGACTCAACCTTCAAAATAAAAGCGAATGTAATGCCGCTGTCGAAAAGGAAGCGAATAAACAACCATTTGGGAGCCACAAACTACAGAAAATATGTCTAAACATTTATCGGGAGTATAATATTATTTGTGTTTAACAAACTCAAAGGTGTACCGCGGATTATTTACGATTCAGTTTAGTTTAACTATAACGGTTGCCAGGGATGAGTTAATCTTGAAAAGCTCAAACAGGAACTAGCTGTCCTCGCTGTAGCTAACTCGACCCTTGTGAAAAAAAGGGGGGAGGTAAGTAGTTATTTAGGGGGAAGAAAGAAAGAAACAAAGTTGTCGACCGTGCAGTGCACCCGGGGAGGGATTTTATTTGTCTCGAGCCACTACTCGTTTAGCCCAGCACCGGTCTGTTGGGATGTAACGGCGCACCGGTTTCCCCCGTTTCTTTCTGTCTCTCTCTCTCTCTCTTCAAACTTCTCCGCTGCTGTTCCGCGGAGTCCCGGACAGGATTCCTCCTCTGAAAACTGGGGATGATAAAAGCAGCCGAGCACAGGCGGATGGACGGACGTGCTGAAGTCTAGCGAGTGCCATATGTGTGTGTTTTCTGCTGCCCGAGTTAAACTACCGTGTTATTACACATTGTGTCCTGGGATGAATGGCAGAAGTCGGCTATCTGAGCAGAAACGGATTTATGTTCGTGTCTAACACTGGGACCCACATGAAGCGGAGATCCCGCTGAACCCCTCTCCGCTGTGTGTTGGTTAAAAAAGAAAATTCAAACGGAGAGAGGCACCCCCCACACCGCACTGGATAACCGAGCTATCACACCGACTTTACTAAAGCGTATTTCAGACATTTTAAACACTAGAGAAGATGCAGATGTGGAGCCGCATGAGGGTCCACAAAGGAGGCCCTCCACGACCATAGGTCACGCCGAAATATCCTGGATGTGTGTTTCTCCTACTTCCTGGCTGGATTGATTTATTAGTATTTGTCTAATAATCCAATGGATTCTTCCTCAACACAGCTTACCTGTGGGATCTCCACATGAAGGCAAACCAGATGACTCAGAGGACTTTAGTCATGTAACCACCCTGAAATGTCTTAAAAGGTCTTATTTATCTGTTTTGTATTTATTGTGTGTGTGTGTGTGTGTGTGTGTGTGTGTATGTATGTGTGTATAAATATATATAAGCTTTTTTTAAAGCTTTGTGCTGGTTTCAAGGCCAGTTTTTAATATCTTTAGTAAGAGTTTGAAAGCTGCCGTAGTGAAAACTGTAGATGTACTTGAACATCTTTGTTCTGCTGCATATCTACCCACACTGTATTTGAGCACATTGATCTGTAACTTAAAGGGGGAACTGTAGGACCTGACTTTGCCTAGACAGGTAAAAACACGAGACGGCTTCACCATGGACAGGCCGATAAGTAAGTTATTGGAGAAGTTAAAGCTAACCGACTCGGGCAGTGTGAAATTCAACAGTTCAAAGAAGAAACACGACTCTGCCAACAACTCTAATAACAGCAACGCCAACACTGGCATCTCCGGAGGCAGCGGTGGGGGCAGCGGTCTGCCACCAGCTCCCAGCTCTGCAGCTGCCTCGCCCTCAAGGCCCAGCCAGTTCTCGCTTGTCTCTGCAACCACAAGTGATGCATGTGTTCCAGCGAGTGGGAGAGGAGGAGGAGGAGGGATGGGAATGCCTCCCTCTCAGCTCCTCACCCCATCGCCCTCTTCCTCCACGGTGGGCGCCATACCTCCAGATGGCGAGCAACCACTTCACCCTTCCACCTTGGCACCACTGAGGCGTCGTTCCTCCCAGCAGCGAGCTTCTTGTTACCTGGGTGAAGGCGTGGATTCCCACCTGAGACGAGAGTCTGGCCTGGGCCCCGAGTGTGACCCGCTGGGGACGTTTGGCTCCAAGGCAGCCCTCAATCAACGTCGCTACTCTCTGGAGCTCCAGCAGCTGGTCAGACGGCAGCAGCTCCTCTCTCAGCCTCCGCCTCTCTCTGTTCCCCCGCCGTACCCTGCCACGGCGGGTTACGGGTCAGCTCCCAGAGGTGGTGGAGGTGGCGTGGCGGAGCCTGGCTACCTCTCCGAGCCTGAGAGGCACAAACGCCTCTCCCTCCAGGAGGCTCTGTTTTACAAACGCCTGAGCACGGGCAGTGAACTGTGGGAGAGCACCAGGCCCGCATCCCTCTCTCATCCACCACACCGCACATCTGATGTGCCCGGAGGAGGAAGCTTCTTTTATTCCCAAGGACCAACCCTGAGCCCGTGCTCGTCATTCAGCCTCCAGGAGTCGGTGCTGGTCAGCCCCAGGTCCAGCTTTGCCTCCAGCACGGCCAGCGGTGGCGGTGGAGGGAGTCCCATGGAGAGCCGCTGCAGCAGCAACCGGACCAGTGGCATCAGCCTGGGCTACGACTCTCGCTACTCCACCTCTGGAGGCTTCCCTCCACAGCACCAGTCCTCCTCCATGCAGACAGGGGGCTCTGTGGCTGGTTATGGAGCTCCAGGCAGGCCCGGGGTAACCCCTGTGGAGGCCTGGACTCAATACCTGGACGGAGGGATGCGTCCAGGGGCCCACGATAGCCGACATTCCTACCCACCTGCTGTTGGAAGTCCAGGAGCAGCGTGCTACCAGGCTGGCCCAGAGTGGTGGGTAGAGCAGCAGACAGGGGTGAGAGGCAAAGAGGGGGGTGTAATGGGAGACAGGGGCCGATACTCAGACCTGCCTGGCACACGGTACCAGGAAGAGCTCACCCGACTTCTACTGAGAGACGCAGCGCTGGAAGGTGATGGGCTCCTGGAGGGCCTGATGCTGAGGGAGTCTCTGGCCCTGACTGCTCTTTCCAAACCGAACACGGCAACACTGGGGCCTTGCTCAGCCGGAGGGCCAGTCAAACCTCAGGAGGATCCAGGGAGGGAGGTCGTGGAGAACCGGCAGGAGTACTTTGGTGAGATGCTTTTTTTTAACAATAGTTTTTAGGCTACAGTGTGGAAACATGATACAAGTTAAACAGCTGCATTCAACACAAACTGTAAAATCATGTCCCTAATTTGGGCCACTGTTCACGCACCGCATCTCATGAATTCACAATGGAGCGCTGGTTTGCCCAGCATCCGCCCTCCGTGTGTTATTATTGTCCTTCTCACCGCCTGGTGTTAAATCACAGGTTTCTCTCTAAATGAAAGGGTTGTATGGATGGACGGACAGATTAATAGTTGAAAGAGTGGATGGATGGTGCATTTGAACCTGCAGAGACATGCAGGGTCATAGCACGCAGTGCATAAAGGAGAATGGAGGAAGAAGAACAAACAGGGCGCTCTCTTCAGTAACTGATCCAGACAAGTAGACATGTTTGGCTGAAGATAAGAAATAAACAAACATGAAGGATAAATAGTTATTAATGGTACAGATATGTATGTATATATACTCCTTCAGGCTCACACCTGTAGCCAAAACATCAGGCATCAAGTCAGCTGGTGTTTCAAGATGTTGCCAATTTGCTGCAGTGAGATGCACATAGACGGTCAACGCAGCGTATCTACACGGCCATTAAACTGTAAAACTGTGCTGTAACAGTGAGACACAAATTACATGGTTCCATATAAACACAGCTTCGACCATTACTGTGAGTCACAGGAGATTAGGGCTCAGGATGTGTGTGTGTGTGTGTGTGTGTGTGATTGTAGCAGAATAGGAGTGTGTTACGGTGTGTGTGTTGTTTCTCTGTGGCAGGGTGTGTTTACCCTGAGTGACTTCAGGCCACAGTAACGCAGTGTGTCTGAGTCATTTGTGTGTATGTGTGTGTGTGTGTGTGTAATGTTGCCTTGGCGTGTGCAGGGGCGGTGTGCTGTAGCCTGTTTTTCTCCTCAGGTATGTGTGCCCGGAGGGGACATACAATACTGTACACCTCTCAGTCATTAGGAAGAAATCAGAAGCTCTAAGCTGTGAAGACAGACGCTCTGAGCTCAGCTGACACACACACACGCACTCTAATATTAAAATATAATGCTGAGCAAAGTGAAATGCTCATAATTTAAAAGAAAGTAAAAGTGAAACATGTTCTAAAAACCAAGAAACCATAGAAGTAGATTCAGAGATAATCCACAAAAGAAACAAACGAAAAAAACTGTTGATGATTTTTGTCCCACAAGTTCAAAAGAATAATGTACACACACAAAACTGTTAAGGTAACATGTCGTCTTGTGCTTCTCAAATTAGAGAAATTCTCTAACATAAAAGCTGCCTGGTAAGAATAAATATCTTGTCAGACAAAAAACAAATATATTTTGCCTTCAATTAAGATAATTAATCTTACTAAGATTTTAGTTTTTGCAGTGTGGTGATTCACACATTTAGTGTTCAGTTTTTTTGCCCAGTTTCACTTTATTCTTCAAAACCTTTGTTTATGAACCCTAAAATGCCTTATCTCTATTTTTCCCCGAATGCTAACCCACTCACTTATTTCCCATCTTCTTCTTCTACATGCAGCAGCTTCAGACATTCAATTTAAAGCCTCGAGTTTTAGTCTTGGCCCCTTTTTTGGGTTTCTGGCTTTGGCAGAGACTTGCGCCTGTTCCTGAATATCGAAGGGACTGTCCAGAGTGTAGGAATACTGGATTTGTGTGGCACTCCCTCAGCCACATTAGAAAGAGGGGGAAAAAAACAGAAATGCAGGCAGACCCTTAAATAGCTCACAGAGACGCTGTAGCTTGGACCACCACACCACTTTTCCACTTTACATTCAGTGCCCTGACTAGTGCTCAAGCTGTACTTAGACTAAACTGTATTCTAAACACACACAGATAAGTCATAAAGTCATATAGTCGTAAAGGTTGGCTGGCTTTAAGTGTGTGCACTATAGAGGTGTTGTTTTTGTAACAGACACTACGCAGCAGAACTTACGCTAATCTTGACCTAGAAATGCTTATTTATTAGTTTTAACTGATTCGTCAGTGGAGTCCTTACACCTGACACTAACCTGACGAAATGAGAAGAACGAGCTGAAATGTGTTTGTTGTTCGGTTAACGTAAAAATGTGGCCAAAAAGTGCCACCTAAACATTTGTTTCATTGACTTTAAAGGGGGAAAACATTATCTTCCCAGGTAAGCAGGTAGTTTAGGGGTGCAATCTTGTTTAATCTCCAAAATTCTCAAATTGTGGGGTTTAAAGTCATATTTAAAGGACAGTCTTAAGTATATAAAAACCTCCAGGAGAGAGAGTCATCTATTTTCTGGAAGGACTGCCAAAAAGTCAGTGCTGGTGGAGTTTCCCTTTTTTAATAACAGAGCTTCAGCGGAGACACTTGAGTGGATGAGCAAACAGGCTGGCATGGGTAACCGGGTTTTAACTGTGTGAAAATCCCCTAGGTGGTGCGAACGAGAGGATTTACAAGTGTTGACACTTTGTGTGGAGTTGGATTTCAGACACATCCCCTTGGAATGCGGCGTAAACGAAGTGCGAAGAGCCGCTGAGCGATTACTCCCTGACTAAAATGCGTGTTTGTGTCCGTTGTGTTTTTCCCCCACTGTGCCGGCAGGAACCTGCGTGAAGTGTGGGAAAGGCGTGTACGGGGTGGATAATGCCTGCCAGGCTCTGGACAGCCTCTATCACACACGCTGCTTCACCTGCGTGTCCTGTGGTGAGTAACCCACCCTGAAGACACAACAACTATGTTTTAAAGCATTGAGTGTAACGCTTCATTTCTATCACTGACACCTGTTCTGAACGCCATTTTGAACCATTTTTAAATCTCCTGTTTTTACCATGCTGAGTCAGTTGTCTGCCACCTCTCTCCCTCTGCAGGACGCACCCTGAGAAACAAGGACTTCTACAATGTCAGTGGCTCTGTGTACTGTAAAGAGGATTACATGGTAAGAGTTGAGGTCAAGGCGTGTTTTGTCATCCATCCCACACACACACACACACACACACACACACGCGCACACACACACACACTCAGACATGTTGGGAGTCAGAGGATGGATTTTTCTGCTAATGGTAATCTCTCTATTGTAATTACAGTTTTCAGGATTCCAGGCTGCCGCTGAGAAGTGTAGCGTGTGTGGCCACCTTATTCTCGAACAGGTAAGGTTTGTGTGTGTGTGTAAAACCTGTCAGTTTTAGTCACTTGCGTCCCGTTTCCCAGAATGCCTTTGAAGAAGCCCTCAGAGGATAAAGAAATTCAGTGACGTCTCTTTGTTGGCTCCTCTTCGGGTTCCCACGGCGGATTTCCAGTGGAATGTTTGCCTTGGGTTTTTGATAAATACAGAAATAAGGCTTTGCGGTGATTAGCTTAAAACGTTTTGACCATATTTGAATCACATAATACCCATAATATAAACAGAAAGTTTGAAAGGGTCTGGGATCCACAGGAATAATTTTCTGCACAATTTGAATTAAAGTTTTGTGACTACATAGGTTTTATGTTCAAAGCATGTTGGTGCAGAAAAATTGCGTTGACATTATAATATGTAGCTAAATGGGAAATATTGTGCTGTGTAGTGAACGTACTGTCTGGTGTCTTTTGAGTTAGTAAGCAAAAGTAAAGGATGTCTGTACGACAGTAGAGTAACTAGTGATCATTAAAAATGTTGAAGATAAAATAAATAACAAAACTAACAAAATACGATACGTACAGTAAATAATATACATCATTTATTATACTTCATTCTCAGATCCTGCAGGCTCTTGGGAACTCGTACCACCCGGGCTGTTTCCGCTGCGTGGAGTGCTCCAAGGCTCTGGATGGGGTGCCTTTCACCGTGGACCACCACAGCAACATCTACTGTGTGGCAGACTACAACAAGTGAGACTCTCTCTGTGTTTATTATCCCGGTGCTGTAGCTCAGCAGCTCTTAATATTCACGTGTAACAGTGATGTTAGGGAATGTGCCGTACTCATTCAGCTTTCCTCAGAGGCATCACTCAACTGTGTGAGTGCTCCTGGTTTCTACAGTAAATAAACTTTCTCCTGTCGTCCTGCAGGGCGTTTGCCCCGAGGTGCGCTGCCTGTTCACAACCCATCTTGCCTACTGAGGTGAGTATTTAGGAGTGTGTGACAATGCATGTGCTGGCTGGAAGCGTCTTACTATTTCTGTTTATGTGTAACCTGGAGCGTCATGTGTGAGCAATTTGTTTTCAGTTAACTTCAACAGTTTAACGAAGACAAACTTGTGCAACCAGTGCAACATGAGAGCAGTTTCAGGCAATCACAGAAGCGTATTTAAAAATCAGATTGTCTCTCATATATTTCTGGTGATTCACACATTTTTGCTGCGTCCAAACAAAGTGAAGAGGAAAACTATTTCCCCGGACTCTGCTGACGTCTCTATTTTTTCCTCCTGTTTGGTGTCTCAGGGGAGTGAAGAGGTCCTCAGGGTCGTGTCTATGAACAAGGACTATCACTTTGAGTGCTACCACTGTGAGGTGAGTGATCTTCAGCTGTTTATTTTGTCCTTCTGTGTGAGTGCAGACAAACTGAGCTACAAATTGTTCTTTTTTTCTTTTGTTATGAAGCGCCTTGTTGGCTGCCCTCACTTCCTGTGTGCATTCCTGTCCTTATCTGCTTCTTTTTTCTTTTTCTTTTTTAACGCCCCTCAGGAGTGTGGTAAGCAGCTCTCTGATAAGCCTGGCTCGCAGTGCTTCCCTCTGGACTCTCATCTCCTCTGCCACTCCTGTCACATGAGCAGAGTGTGCGCCACACACAGCGCTTCCCCTCACAACACACACTGATCGGCGCCTGTGCAGCTGGGACGTTTGGAAAATGCTGGTCTTGATGTGCTGTCGTTCTCTCGTGTGCTTTTTTGCTCTTTTGTCGTCCAGATGAAACTGCTGATGTTCAGACTTTTCCACCGATTCACTTTCTTTGACTCCCATCAGTCCCTTTTTTCCCCACATGTACTGCCTGCTGTACTACTTGGACCATTACTGTACCATAGTTATAAAGGGAACGGGAAAGAAACTACTGCTTTTTTTTTACCCCAATGTGGCTACTGTTTGCTGTAGAAGAACAAGGATTCAAGGATCATGTTGAACTGTTTTGTACATATATTATCGCTAGCAAACATTTTGCACTTAAATTTGACTTTACTGTAAGAGATGTAACGTGAATCTGTACAATTTGGGGTAAAAAACATTACTGTATTTTCTGTATGTTAATAAATATTTTCATTTGTGTTCAGATAATAGTCTGCTTTAGTGTAACAGATTTTAAAAGCTTTTCCTCTGCACTTAATCACTCAGATACTTCCCCAATATATCAGTCATTATGAAGATCAGAAGCACTCAGTGGCTCGCAGCCAAGTCATGATGCTCCTTATTTGTAAGAAATGACCAAGCAAAAGCAGACAGGCTGATAACCAATTTAAATTTATTCATTTTTTAAATTCTCAGTACATTCAGCACTTGCAGGAGAAGAAAAAAAGCAACTGTTTCAAACTAAAAACATAAAATTAAGATATTAAAATTGTAACTATAACTCTATTAGCAGGTAAACGTCCTCTTAAATATATATGATTGATGGGTCAGAGGAGGGATTTCCCAAATGGAGACTTCAGTGCAGGGAAGGTCAGATTCCCCTAATTATTACAGAGTAAACCTCCACTTGAAGAATTTTATATCCTCCCCCTCTTATTTCCAAAAACATCTACTAGAAGATGAGCTTGGGCGCGTCTCTTCCTATCGCACACTTTTCTAGGTTACAGTGTTGAGACTTGGTACCAGTTGTATCGCCGTGGGAGAGGGAGATGAAGGTTATATACTCGCACAAACATCACCTGCTGTGGCGCACAACAACCCCTCCAAGGCTGAAAAGGATTGACATGATTCATAAAACTTCAACAAAATAACTTTCCTCACTTTGACAAAGACTGCCTGTAAAAAAAAACACAAAAAAAAAAATCAACAACTGTGTGCTGAAGAGTAGAACACTAAAACTGATCCTAGGAAATATTTGAAGGTCAGGGATCTATTTTGGACTGATTTTATTACAGGGCTCGGAGGAGGAAGGAACTGTGCGCCCGCAGAACTAAAATAAAGAGGCAGGCTCCCAAACCTCAGTGGGACAAAATGCTGAGGCGAGCCCAAAAGAAAAAAAATACACACCACCCTTCTCTGCTTCTTCAACAGAGGAGAATTAAACAGCACGGAGACGAGGAGGAACGCCGCTCTCTGCAGAGGGACAGGAGTGACTTCTGCTTCCGGACGACAGAACAAAAGAGTGGGGAGCTAGATGAGCCGCCGTTTAACTACTAACAAAACGTGTACTCAACATGTGTAAATTGATGTGGACGAGGTGTGGGCGGACGGGTGGGCGGGGAGGAAGGGAAATGGCAGAAGCGGGTGGAAGACAACGCTGGCATCAAAGTGGACGAATTAAAGCACGTGGGGCAGCTGGCGAGCAGCAGACACAAGTCCTGAACTTGATGCAAGAGAATTGAGTGGAAACACTCCCTCCCAAGACTTCCTGTCTGCAGTGTCCTCCGCTAAGCCGTGTCCCCCCCTCCCTTCCCCTCTCTTCAGCTTTCTCTGCAGCTGCTCAGCCCTCAGCGGCGTCTGTCCCTGGGGTTGCTACGGCTACGGGAGCGCCGCCCACTGCCAGCGCCTGCCGAGGGTCGTCTGGGTCGGTGGCTGCTGTCCCTCTTTTTGTCCCCCTCTCTGTCTCGGCCCCGGTCCCTCTCTCGGTCTCCGTCGGCTCCTCGTCCGGCTGCTCCGCCGCTCGCCGCCACGCTGACCTCCTTCTCCCGGCCCTTCAGCCTCTCCTTCCTCTCCTCCTCGCGCTTCTTCTCCGCCTCCTCTTGCTGCTCTTTGCGCCTTCGCTCGCGCTCCTTTTGCCGCTCCGTGCGGTCCAACAGCCTCTGCGTCGCCTGGCGGACACAAAGTTCAGTTAGATGAAATCAAGTTTCCAGCTCTCGCTGTGACAGACACACGTGCGTTTGTGTAAGACCAACCTGCTCCTCAGTGAGGGGAAGCCAGTATATACACGGAGCTGCTTTGGTCTTGAGGAACAAGTCGTCTAGCAGTTTGGCAGGAGGCTCGTCTCCTTTCTCTGTTAATCAGAAAACAGAAAGGGGAGACATGCGTGTTAAGATCTACTTCTTAAAAAACGTTTGACCTTACTACAAATACTGCTGCAGAATGTGAGGTTGCTCGCCAGTTAACAGTATTTATCATCTGTTGGTCCTGCATTTGTTTTGTGCGTCTATTCCCAATAATCACCAATAAAATTTTACTTCACTTTTCTTCTGTAGACTGAGGTGCAGGGATCATATTCTGCTTTCACCTCCCAGCGTTGCTTAAGGCAGTGGTTCTCAAAGTGGGGTCCGGGACCCCCAGCGGTCCTTGAGGGGTCGTCATTATTCCATCAATAAGTAACACAATGACAGAATCTATCACTACTTGGTCATGGGTTTGATACACTTTCTGTAGTAAAACATCTCAAAGATGGGGGACCCTGGGACAAAATCTTACCTAATGGGGGTTGCTGGTCTAATTTTCAGTTCAGGGGTCCCTGAAGGTTTGGGAACCACTGGCTTAAGGTTCATGTCTGTATGTGTGCAGCATGGTTTAAGGACGAGGGTGTTTTTTGCCTTTGTGCAGACTGGGTACTGAGACTTTGTTTTATTATAACTTACTTACTTTGGACGCTGTAAATATTTGATAAACCAAGTTCCACATAATTCTGCTAAAGTCAATTTGATTACAAACAAAACTAAACTGAGAACATGTGACACAAACTGCTAATTATGAGCCAGAAAGTGAAATACAACTTCCCTATGTAGACGACTGATGGATTTAATTCTTACAATTTATTATATAATAGTGTTTCTGTTCCACCAGCATGCTTTGTTCTGTTTTATAATTTTCACTTCCAGTTTTCTTTTTGTGCTTCTATTTAATCACAGCGAGCTGCGTTACCCTTCTTATCGGTCTTCCTCTCCTTGCTCTTGGCCCTCTCCCTCCTCCTCCTCTCTCTGTCTCTGGAGCGAGAGCGTTGCCCGTCCTCTCCCGGTCTTGCAAATTCCCGGACCTTATCTCGGTCCCATTCCCGCTCGCCACGGGCCCGTTCCCGGCGCTCCATCTCTCTCTCCCGCTCTGCCCACAGATCCCGCACTCCAGCCATGGCCACGCCTCGGTCCCGTTCGCGGTCTCGATCGCGCTCTCTGTCCCGGTCTCTTTCTCTGTCCCTTTCTCGCTCAGGCATCAGAGGGGGCAGTCGGTTCTGAGGACCTGCTGGCTGGGCAATAGGGTCCTCCACCTTTTCCGGCTTCAGGACCCCTTTGTGAAAGTCCAGCTGCATGAGACAAATGCCAGGATGTTAAAGTTTGAAAACGCACACAGAAACCATCTGTTACGCAAGATCACCATCGGAAAAGTAAACTTGCACTTTTAAATTGTGATTTCTAAAAACAAAGACGTCACATGAAGTAAACCTGACAGTTTTGTGTAGGAAAATGATAATGCTGGATGATGTGATACAGCCTGCAGCTTTAAAGAAACTCCCTGACACCACTTAGGACTAAGTATGTGGTTGCTCTTCTGAAACGGTTCCAAAAATAAACCTATTAATGTTTCATCCCTCGTGCCTTTCACTGCAGGGAACACTTGTACTGTTTGATACAAGTTCAATCCCCCAGAAAATATGGTGAGTCTCCAAAAGTTTGAACAGCAGTGGAAGAGAACACACTTTAGATTCATGCTTTTTTAAAAATGCAAATTTTTTTCTTCAGTATATTTTCCTGTCACAATACAAGGGTTTTTACTCTATAAATAATAAATAAATTGTAAAACCAGTTCCTCTCTTTATTTTTCTCATTATAGCAAACACTAATTTATTTCATCCTGTAAAATATTCACTTTAAAGGCTGGAACATTTTTCCCCACCATCTACTGTAATGCGATTCACGTTCCATTAAGTGCATCATTACCTCATCCTGCTCACAGAAGTCGACGCTGAGGACCTTGGGATTGCTCAGAGGCCATTTGACCCCGTGGAGGGCAGCTCTGGTGGCGACCGCCTCCTCTGTGGTGGAGTACTACGACGGACAGGAGAAGAGGAAATGGGTTAACTGAAGGCTGAAAATAGTCGTCTTAAAGCGTAAATCACGTCTCAACCTGCGAAAATAGGTCAGTTGCAGGAGCAGATGGACGAGAACACAGAAGTGATAGTTTGTAAGGATGAGTGACAATAATCACACAAACGCTTCTATTAATTCAACATCAGATATGTCTTCATTCAAAAAACAGACACTATTTGCTCTCACAAAACTCTGACCCTCCTCTGGTACCTTGTGGTGGAAGCTGCGTGTGTTCAATAACACAACACCAAACGATACGGTTTATTCAAATGGGCCAGTTTAGGCAGCTGTACCGATGCCTGACAAATTTCACTTCGCACTCTCAACACAATATGAAAATGTGTTGGTACTCACTGTGACGAAGCAGTGAGACTTGATCTTGTCGATCCAGAAGCCCTCTTCCACCACGCTGCCCGTCCTGTTCAGGAGCTCCTTGAGCTGGCCCAGGGTGAAGGGACGGACCTGTGGGATTAAACACACGATATGATCGTTCTAAAACAAATGACTGAGCTCACGTCAGCTGTACTTTGAGATTAATGCTACAGTATATTAAACAGAGTCTTAAAATGGTCACAGTTCAGATGATAAGGCCTTTTAGTTTAGGTAACAACATGGGCTTCCCTCTGGCGCCTCCCTCTGGTCAAACTTTACGTTCTTGCCATCAAAGGATAGCAAAGTAGTTTCTACCTCTTAAATCCATCCAGTCCATCAGTTTTGTTTTCTGGTAAACACAACTGTGATGAGCATCACAGTCAAACAGCAGAGCTATAAACCTTTAGTCTTGTTTGGTGTTGCTGTAGCCTGAGAGCTCCCGTTGTTCAGAGATCAGTGAGGCTGGGTGGCATTAGAAATCTGGTAGTCTTTGATCCATATGTATGAAGTCTTGCTTCTATGACGCAAGTAAAAAGAAATCTGCAAATGCTAGTCATTAAATGTGTAATGTCTGGTCTCGTCATACTCTTGTTTAGTCATGCAGCGTGCCCCCAACTTAAGGTGATGCTTGACTACAGCCATAATACCTGGGTTCCTTACTCTAATTATGGGAATGATGGCGATGTGGTTACCACTGGCATCACCACAATATGCCTCATTCATGAAAAACCTGGTAGTGTATGTTTTGGAAATGCAGGGGTTTTTTTTCCCCTGTACAACCATTTTAGGCTTCAACTCGACCAAAAGACCAGAACATAACGAGACCTTTTTGGTGACACATTTTAATTTGCCAGACTTTTTAAGTGTACTTTCTATATGCTGTGTCATGTAATGAGTTACAAACCCACCAGGTTGGTCACATGGATAATATTTGAGACTTTGCCATGAGGCGGCGAGGGCTGCCTGGTTGTGCGTACGGGGTCATCAATGGTCACGGACACGCCAGACTTCTGTTGGCTTATGGAGCGGCGCACCAGACTGTCGCTGGGGGTAACTGAGGGAAAGATGATGAAGAGGTGCGATGAGTTGGGTAAAAATAAACAACCAACAGGAATGTGTAATCAGGGACAGGGAGAAAGATGAAGTGCTGCCCGAGGGATGATTGAAGAGATTTGTACCTAACAATCTGTAGCAATTAAAAACCCATACATCTTTCACGGTGGCAGTTTACCTTTCTTTGCCTCTCCATCGTGCTTGACAAATGTCTGTGTTTCCGAGGCTTCCTCCGAAACACTGTTCTTTCTTTTGTCTCTGGAAGTCCTGCGTTGTTTTTCTTTCTCTGTTTTCTCCACCTCCTCCTCTTCTTCATTTGTCTGTCCATTTTCCTGGCTGTCACCTGGGACGACCTGGGGAGGAATTACAGGTGGAAAAACCCTCAATGTGATAGTTAATAAACCACTAACTAAGTTCTCAGTGGAGTTATCAGACCATGTTTGAGATCTGACTACCAATAGCAAGATGTTTATTATGTGACAAAGAAAACTGGCGGGGGGCTGAGCGAATATTTGCGCTGCTCAAAGCTCTAGAATATTTTACCCATTTAAATACCGTAAAACTTGATTAATAGCCCGGGCTTTTATTTGCTAAAAATCACTGAATTGACCCACTGAAATAGGCTACTATGAAACAGTTCATTTATTTCAAACAGAATATTACTTGTATAAAAAGTATCCAATAATATCAAGTACACGTCATTCATCTGGTCTAGCTCCAACAGACGGCTTATGCACTTTTATTTTGAAGAAAGCAACGTAATGAAAAACAACAACAACAACAACAACAACAGGGTGCAGGATGAGAGAAGTGTGGCAGAAGTTAGAGAGTGATGGACTTCACATGACAGGATTAATTTTAATGAAAAGCTGTGTCGAGTCTTTTGATCGGTGGACCCTTATAGACTAAAGCAATATAAATAATAAAGAAACGGACACATTTGGACTGAACGAGCTCTTCAAAGGTAACGGGAGTCGGCACTTTTTTTCCCTTTTCATCTCTCGTACCATGTTGGTAAATCTATGAGAATTAGAGTTTTGAGCTTGTTGTTTCCTCTGAACTTATATAAAAACCAGTCCAGGCGTTTAATCAAGGCCTGCGTTTATTTGTCAAAATGTGTTCTCACACCAGGCCAGTAAAGGAGGTAGGCGGCTATTTAGGACTCTGCTATTAATTTAAGTTTTACAGTAGTAAAAAAATTTAAAATCAATATGTGGTGACCAGTGTTGATATTGAAAAAAAAATCCACATATGGGAAACACTGTGTTACATTCTGACTATGTACGCTATTATGGTGCCAAATAACTGACTAGGTACTGTAGCTCATAAAAATCTACGTTGTGGCCGTTTAGTTCACACTCCAACACAGAAAGCTGGACGACGTTCAACTGTCAAACATCTGTTGCCGAAAGAGGAAACAAACTAACGGCTCCACCTCTACTTATTTTCCCATAAAATATCAATCTAATAAATAATATTATTGCTCTAATTTGAGTTGAAAAAAGTTAGATCATTTAATTTTCACACCGTCTGTGCAGCCTTTCCACTGTATCCATGGAAACAATGCCGAACGCAGCCACAAAGATAGTCCGTTTACTTTTCGGACGACTACATCACTGAATAACAAATTTTTGTCACGGATATCACAATATGGTAGTTATTAGGTACTTGGGACAGAGCTGTTTTGCAGGCTGTGATGTACAGGCGTAGAGCACTGACAGTATGGCGTAGAGCACTGACAGTATGGCGTAGAGCACTGACAGTATGGCGTAGAGCACGGACAGTATGGCGTAGAGCAATACGTATTGCCTTGCTTTCAACAACATCAAGCTCACTCTGGTCTCTGATCTCTTACAGAGTGTTACCATTCTAGCTGCCTGCCCCAAACCCCATTAAAAACGCAAATTTTTCCTAACTATCCATTTTTCCATACGTTTTCAGACCTGGAAATGACCAAAATTTAATTCCATACTTCGTAGGAACGCTGTTAGAATCACAAAGACGCACCTGTGTGACGGTGCGTCGGATCTTGAGGCCTTTGTCCTGGTCGCCCCGGCTAGTGTCCAGGTTCTCCTCGTCCCCGGACAGCTGAAGCTCCTCTGGGTGCAGCTCCACCACCGCCTCCTGGTTCACTTTGATGTCTGGGATCAAAGACTGAAGAACAGAAACAGAAGATTGATGGAGGAAAAACAAACAGGGACAAGAGGAGATAAATATTTGCAGGAGATGATGGATGGGTTTTTGGTTCCCATCAGTTGATTTTTGATTGATTGAGTTTATTATGTTTTTTTTCCAAAAATAAAGTTTTAAATTTAGTGACTTTGGGAAGCTGTAATAAAACCAGCATACCATACAAGACCATACATTTAAAAAGCTTATTTTGAATGGTTGAAAAATAAAAAAAGTCTCTCAAAGAATAAAGTTCTTGTCATTTCAGAGGCTTTGGCCTGCATTCTGGCATGAAACAATATATAAATATTGGCCTACAGCCAACAAAAAATACTATCACAGCTAAAATAAGTGAATCATCACTTATTTTCCACATTTTCCCACGCCTGCATGGACATCTGGTCCCCGTGCTGTGTCAGTACCTTCAGTGAGTCAGTGGTGATGCTGATGGATGGTTTCTTTGTAGTCACTGATGTGCTGGAGCCCCACCGCCTCTTCCTCCCTGCTGCACTTCCTGTCTCCGACTCTCCTGCTCCTCCGTCTGTGGTGGCTGGAGACATCTTACTGCCTGCAGAGAGAATAAAGTTCTTAATTGAGGACAGAAAACACATTCACAGATGGATGATGTGCTCTCTGAACTTCAGCAACAAGTTGCTGCAAGCTCGTCGCCTAAAAGCAGAAATAACTGCTTAAATGCTTTAACCCACAAAGTTTAGGCAAGGGTGGCAGGAACTCATTTAAAGTTTACAGAGTTTCCAAAACTATTTTCCAATGTTGGTTCATTAAAAAAAACAATACTCAACTTATTGTTACAAGTTTGTTGTGGTAACTGTTCAAAGAGCAAGCTTCTGTGCACATTACTTTGTGTGAAATGACACAGAGCTTATGGGAAGTACAGTATGCAGTGAAAATAATGAAAAATAATGATAATAATAATAATACAGTGCTCACTTGTATTAAAAAGGTGCGTCTAAGGCCATACACACGGACAGGGTCCTCAGAGCAGCGTATTTAAACTGTAGTTTTTTTGTTTAAATATCACTTCCAATCACACAAGTATAATGCTAGTGAATCAACATTACAGTCCACAAAGAGTTTAAATTAATTTTTTTTATCTGCAGCAGTCTGATGAGCTTGTAGACTGTTTCCAAGTGCCATCAAGCAAGTAATTTATTTGTTACAGTGAACACCGTGTACCTTAAAGAAACTTTGGATCCTGCCAGGATGATCGTTTATCTTTCAGATTTTAAATCTAAGCCAGCCTTTGATTTGAACTTATTCCACAGTAAATAAAGCAAAACAAATTTTTTAAATGTGAAGAGTGACTTGTGTATTAAAGTCTACTTCACAAGGTCTTGCCGAATTAACTGCAGCGTGGCTCTGAACTGAGCTCCCACATTGTCAGCACAACATTCATGCGGCTCTCACATTCACAATGGATGCACAGTTACTTTTGTGAATTCTGACCTTTTCCTTTCACAGTTTACTGCTTATTTTAAGTTAGAAGCATTTATCTGCATCTGAGCTTTCAATGCTAAGACCCCATCCACACTATTACATTTTCGTTTTAAATCAGAGACCTTTTGCTACGTTTGCATGTCACGTCCAGACTAAAACGGCGAAAATGAAGATCTAAGACGGAGACCCTGTTTTTCGTTTTCTTGGTGGTGTTTTAGTGAAGACGGGCAAAAACGGAGGACTTTAGAAATGATGATGCAGACGCTCACGCTTGGCTCTCTGAAGTCATGCAAAACAGAAACACGATGCTACTGACAGTTTGACAGGGTATTTTTATTAAAATATTTTGTACCGCGCAAATAACACTTAATAAATGCTTAATAAATTTGTATTGTGCCTGTCGCCATTTACTTTGCGATGACTCCTAGTCTGTTTTCCGCCTCCACAGTTGCTTTTAACTCCCATGTTACATTCATTAACAGTTCGAGCTCGTTATTGGTCCATGTAAAAAATAAAAATCTGGTGCGATTCTTTGTCTTTATTTCTTTATTCTTTCGCCAAATCTTCTGTAACTACGGAATAGACCATCTGCTTCATGTTTACACCGGCACGCGCATGCCAGTGTATGTGAACGGCCACTAGATGTGCGTTTTCGAGAAACGAGATGAGATCAACTCTGATAGGCAGCTAAAACGCTGCTGCGGATGGAGATCGTATTCGCTTTAATTCTCCGTTTTTAAACTAAAACGGAATAGTGTGGATGGGGCCTAAGAGTAGGGTGTTTTCTTTTTTTATTCTTGTGCCCCTCTCTCTCTCTCATACGACCTCATGTGGGGTGAAAGATGTAACTGGTATACTCACTGGTCAGGGATATCTTGCGAGCAGCAAAAGCCTTAGGAGTGGTGCTCTGGAAAGAGAGAGAGACAGAAAGAACATACAGAAACCCCAGGGGTGCGGGGCTACATGAGAACCAAGAGTCCAGACCCAAACATGCAACAACAGACAGGAGGTGAAACAGGAAAAGTGGAGGAGGGGTAGGGGCGGGGGTTTAAAGTAACAGAGACCTGGAGGCTCCAATTGTACCACATTATGAAGAAGATTCTTGGTCGATACAGTCTCCAGACACATTTCCGCCTTCCACCTCTGCTCAAAGACACTGAGATCAATCATTATTCTACTCTGTTTGTGTGTGCGTGTGTGTGTACACGGTAGACTCTAAGGACAAAGCAAGTCCATGATGTGCATTAGGACATGACTAGGCCTGTGTGAAACTCAAACTGGGTCGTATCTTAGTGCAGTACGTTATTACAAGAGAACGCCCATTAGAGGATGGAGGAGAAAAGGAGACTGGCAAAGTGTCTATGTGTTTGAGTGGATCCTGTCCCTATACAGGACTCATGTCCCAGCTGGACTGGATTTATTTTCTCCAGAGGAGGTGGGGTAGTTTCAATATTACCTGAACTGGTTAATCATTTTTTACACCCCAAACCTTGCAATAAATAAAACCTGATTACTTCTTATTATTTTTGTTAACCAATAGATCCCTCGTTAACTTGTGTCTTGAGCTACATGTATTGAACCGCTGCAGATATCAGCTCCTTTCTTACTGCTACAACACAGCCTGCTCAACATTCAGGTAGAGACATTTAATAATTTACAACTGTCTGTGTTAAATTACGGCTAAATAACACCAATATTAAAAACTAATCCTGCCAGTGATTAAGGTCACATGGTCTTCCCACAGTAAATCATTCTCTTTTACCAAACCAGCTCCTGTAATTTGCCAACAGAAAAAATATCGTCCAGACCTTATCACAAGAAGAGGGGAACTATTTAATCAGCCACCTTCCCCCCGTAATATTAATCCTGTTCAATGATACAAATGGTGTGACAGTAGCAAATCGATCCTGAGCTGCACAAGCATTTTTTATGCGGTGTGAACACTTCCATGGTGTTTATTTAACATGAACAATAGGTCTTGTAGTTGAATTAAGTGTTGCAGTTGACTGACACACTATTGAACGTTGTGCTGATGAGTTGGAGCAGAGGTGGAGAACCGAGTGCTGAAGACTCAAAAAGCAGGACTGATCGGTACTGCAGTTTAAATTCCCCCCGAAGGGTAGCCATATTTAACAATACACAACTGTAGACCAACAGTATGTGAAATGTATGACGAACACTGTCATCTTGGTGTCAAAATATCAAATCAAAACTGCAGTACACGTGACAGTTCAAAAAATGTGCACCAAATTACGTAAAGAAAACTAATTAATTCCTCTTATCTACAAAAAAGAAGGAAAGAGATAGTTTTTTTTTTTTTTAAACACTTAATCCTTTAAATTTTTAAACATTTTAAATAGAGGAATAATCACAAGTCATTTCCTGGTACCATTTGACACCTGATTCCTTACTGGCTCGACTATGGCCCAACCGCACGACAGTGTGTACTGTATCTAGGAATCAAGGATCCAATCAGAGAAGGCAGAGGAGTGAGGGCGGGGCTCGATTTGAGTGTGCAGATTAGCCACCAGGCGGGAACTGATCACTTTTTTCTTGAATGGGGCTGGGGAGGACTTTTCTTGATTGACTGCTTATCACAGAGTCACATTTCAGTCTTTTGGGGGAGTTTCTGACGAGGGGCGAGGGTTTACTTTGTTAAGAGTCCATCTGACCAGTAAAGAAATCCATGTTGTGATGCTTCAGTGTATAGTCTATCTTTGTAATAGTTGTCCACCTTCTCCAATATGCAGTCCTGCAGGGCTTTGTGACAGTTGGGGGGGACAAAACAGTTCGTCCTGTGATGCATTCATTGTCCGGGGGGTTAGGGCTCCTGTTTTTAGCAGTTCATGTGGTTTCCACAGCCGTAAGGTTCGCTGCACAGTTCTTGAGTTTGTTCAGCAAACTGACAGCACAAGTCTCTTCAAATGGGATTAAAAAAAAAAAAAAAAAAAGTAATCCAGAAGAATTTGTCTTTCTTATATAATTATAATCCAGAAAAGCAGTCAAAATGAGAGGGTCGATGAACATCACGCCTCTGCACTCACGTGAACTCATACGAGATGCAAGGGCCACGGTGTGGGTGTAGCAAAGAGATGGATGTAGAAATAAACAAATCCATCTGCCAGGTCCACAGCAGAGGCAGGATATCATGACTTCCTGGTGAAACATCCACTGAGTCACACTCGAGTTCACCAACAGTGTGGCTGCAGAGGAGGGAGGCAATGACTTGAGTGTATCCAGCTCTCCGTGTGGATGATCGAGCTCACTGTGAACCCACAAAAATAAAAATTCTTTGTGCATAATGTGTGTCAGATTACTTGTCCTTGGCATTATGTCCTGTCTGTTGTAGAGGAATTGGAGTTCAGGGGGACAGTTCTCTTATGAATGGCACCGTCGGGCACAAATAGTGCACAGCTAAATAATGGAAGTCACTTTTAAAAAGGCCGGCTTGTGAAGGCAGAGGACAATAGCCTTACAAGCTCAACCAATAATAGCGTTCCAGATTTCCAGATTTCCCATTAAAAAGTCCAGTAATCATCACTTCCAGCAGATTATTTCAGTTGTCCAGCTGATGTGTTTTTAATTTTAAAACCCCTATCAGTGATCGTTTAAACGCTCAAGCCCTGATCACGGTGCGGGTTATTGCAGGTGTTCTCAGTCCAAAGTCATGACTCCACCCCACAAGCAGGGGGCAGTGTGGGGTTGGAGGTAGAAACAGTTATGTCTTTTCTCCACATTGCATCTGGCTTTTGGAGAACGGCGGTGCGGATGTTGGAATGAAACACTTTGAGGCCGTGCATGTCCTCAAAATGGCAGATGGGGAAAAGGCGGGGAGGCGATAGAGAGCGTTAGACGCCCTCCCCTTCCCTTCCGTCATCTTTCATCATCACCGCCGCTGCACGGTGCAGAACAGTCCAGTTCGTATCAGATGAGCTAGCGGGCTCCCGACCCCTGAGGCTGGGTTACCATGACAACTGTGTGCTGCCTCCGGCGGTCGGTCTGACGCGAGCTCCAGTTCCTGCTGGCTCAGCGTGTCGCTGGAGGGCTACAGGGGAGGCCTTGCGGGCTTTACTCAGTGCCATGGCTGTCGCAGACTCTGGGCCTAATTCAGGTACCAGCGGCGCACTTGAGCATAGCGGGACAGGAGTTGAAGGAGGAGTAGGAGGAGTGGAGGAGGTGTTGGTGTTGGTGGTGGTGGTAGTAGTAGTAGTAGTAGTACGCAGCAGGTACCATTAGGGGCAATGGAAGAGGCATGGGCACCTTCATAACAAAGCAATCAATGGGGTTTTAAACAGCAATCACACCATAAATATATATAGTGAGAGAGAGAAGCGTTCATGATGGGATACAAAGGCAAAATATGAAAAGTAAGGGGACAAAGAGGGGAAGAGAGACAGTGGGAAAGGGGCAAGTGAGAGAGCAGAGAGAATGAAAACAGGGTGAAAGAAACAGCAGAAACAAGCCCTGATGCATCTCTGCACACACTGTCAGGGTCCATTACTCATGCAAACCCAAACACACAGACAAACAGTACGGGGAAAAAAAAAAAAGACACATGCTGACAATAACTTCAACAGCAGAGCAGCTCACCAGTAAATCTAAATTAGGTACTCGAGATGAGAAAATCAAGAGCTCCGTGCCTATAATGTATAATAATAATAATAATGAATAATATATGGTTGTGGGCATGTTCTGCAGCTTCTCTTCAACTGGTTTAAACAGAAGTAAGCAGTGAAGGCTGAAGGCCACATCTGACAGTAACAGCACAATGAGCTTCAGCAACAATTCTCTACAGCATAACTGAGCAGAACACGCAATACTTTACTACAATACAATGACTCTTAAGACCCTGACACACCACATGCAAGAACTTGAGCTGACTAAAGGATCGTGCAGACTGCACGACCTTCAGCGTCGGCAGGTCGCTGTGCTGTTTAGACTACACGACTTGCTGTCTTGTAACGGGAGTCTTTAAGTCGTCTTGGCCTTCACACTACGTGACAGATCGGTGACAGGAGGGTCATTCACTACACGAGCTGACAAGCTGGTCTCCCACCTACATTTTGTCAAGAAAAAACACGAGAAAAGTGGCACGGGAAATGACGCAAAACTACACGCGAAACAGGAGTTGTTTATTATTATAAATATAAAAATTATAAAGACAGAACAGAGTTTTGGCCAACACTGCCAGCTACACCATTAAATCTAGTGGCCATTAAACATCAATAATCGTCTTGGTGCGTCAAGGGCCTGAAGTTTAATGTTTTCCTTTCTCGCGTCCTCCCTCCCTAACACACACACAAGAACAGTAATATGAGGAGCATGCACTTTCTGGATGTCCAACTTAACACAGTATTACAATCACTACTTGTATTCCAGCAGCATCCCTCTGCGGTGACCAGACAGACAGGTGTGTGCGTGTGTGAGAGATCATCTAAGTGAATGAGCAAGTTATGAAACATTAATTGCATTATGGAAGGGATTAGTTTATTTCTATTTACCCCAGGACCCAACTCCAACTCAACCCCAGTTCTTTTCAACAACAATCAATTAAAGAAACCTCCAATTAAGTAATCTGTTGAGCATTTAAGACGTTAAATGGATGCAGAAACTGTACACACAGTGAGAATTTAAAAGGTTAAAATCTCCATAGGAGACGACGGAATTGATTAGTAAAAACATTGGGGTTGTGTTGGTTTCAAGTGACCCACTTAACTTGTGCTGCCAGCTACACATGCTTTTATATGAATGGAGGATGCAGGTTAGTGGGAGACAGAGCAGAGACCCAGGCACCCCCACTCTCTCGGTAACCTTACCTCCTCCAGGCGCCCCTCGCTGTTCTCCGGCTCGGCCCCGGAGGGCGGCTGCTGGGGCATGGAGCTCTCTGCGTCTGGTTCCACCTCTGTCACAGCAGCTGCGCTGGGCTCCGACACCTCCCTGCAGTATGGAGGAGACAGTTGGGGGTGAAGGGGAAAGGGTGAGGAGAAAATTAGCTTCTGCAGTGAGTGTGTCGAGATTTACGTCGGGGCAGTTCACATTTCAAATTATGAATCACAGAGAAAAATCATCTGTCTTTTATCAGTCAAACAATGGTTTCCTTGATCTCCAGTGATGCATAATTAATAAATATCAAAGCCTCTTATATTTAGAAGTGATCGATCATGACCACAGTCATACACTCAGTCGCTACGATGGCGAGGCCTGGAAGCACCTTCTGTGTACTCTGTCAAAACAGATATCTGACACCCTGTGAGTGGGTGTGACGACTGTGTTGACAGCAGGATGAAATGAACGTACCACCACTATCGTGACTTTCATAACTGATTTTCTTCCGATTTGAACATTTTGCTTAGGTTTTTATTTATACGTGACAAAATCTAAAAGTTGTTGATAGTGCTTATCAAAACTATTTTATACTGTATGAAGATTTATGACAACAAAGTGATTTCCTTCATTTATGGCTTCTGGATGGAGGAATATGTGAGTCATGAGTCAACCTGACTAACTGGGATGACTGAGCTAGTGAAGTGTTGATCCTGTGACATTAACATGTCAGAATCTATCACAAAGCAGAGCTTCTCTACATGTATCATTATTTTAAATACTGAAGATAGAGCTGAAATGCTTAGTCGATGAGTCAATCAACAGTCATCTGGAACCATTCTGTTGATGGATAAATTATTTTTGGAAAAATTACCAAACAGGAGTTCGTTCCAGCTTCTCAACTGTGAGGTTACATCTGACATTTTAATGATTATAATCATTAGTCGCGGTCCTAATCAAAGACAATCTGGACAAAACGATGTGTAGGACAAGGCTGGAAGGAGTCAGAGGAAGGGTGCTGAGGGCCAGTGATCTGGGTCACTCCTGCTATAAATAACTCACCAGCTAACGGACACCCAGGGTCACAAATATACCTCAAACTAACTCAGAGTCCGAGACACACACTCGCAGCTGACTTTGATGTGTGTGTGGTCTTCATCTGATCCGCGCTGGGTCATTCCTGAAAAACCCCCATCTCTAGCTCGGCCAAGGAAAGTCATGCTTTGTAGTTACTGTGAGTCAGACCTCACACAGCCAAATGCTTCTTCTCATGTCGTTTTATTTTATTGCTGTTATCTAAGACGGAGCAAAAAAAAAAAAAACGAGCAGATGTCATCGTTATATTTTCAGCTACTCCCTCAACTTCCCCTGCCAGCGATATCAAAAGTATCCTCCGCTGCCTCCGTGTGATGACACAGGCACAGAGGCAGCTCCCTGTAGGTGGGAGATTCACATCCTCTTGAATCCTTCTTCTCTATCGCAGTGCACCTTCTCCTCCATTGTTTGATTCATTATGATGCATTTTATAGACATAAGAGAGGAAGTAATTCATACATACATACAAAAATACTTCTCACTTCTGAAAAATCAAACAGAAATGTTTGGTAGTGGCCATTAAACACAGTTTGTGCAGAAATTTGAAAACAGTGAAAATGTCTTCAAATATCTTGTTTTGTCAGTCTAAAAAACGATTCTCTTTATCATAATGCACGACAAAGACAAGCAGCTAATTCTTGCATTTAAGAAGGTGGCACTAATCGTCTGATTGATTAATCAACAAGCAATTAGTCACGTGACCTCCAAAGTGAAGGCAGTAGGCAGCCAATTTGACCCTCTGGATCAAACAGCCATCTTCACCAAAAGTCACTTCAACAATCAGGTAACGAGCGGTTTGTTTTGGATTTAAGTCCATTTAAGTAAAACCCTACCATTTACTTCCTTTCACGACTGGTAACAATAACTTGCTAAAAATCTCCCGGACAGCCTTTTCTCTTCCTCCATAACATGTAACACTGCCACTGCAAAGTTTCTATGAGAGCAGGGCCTGTGATGTTAGTCTCTGTACTACTAAAATCTACCCAGAATGTTTAGAGAGCCTGTTCAATCTCCTTCTCTGGAGATTAGTCACTGGCAGGAGTGTAGGCAGGTGGACAGCAATTCCCCCTCCTCCATGCCACACCGACTCCGCTCATTTGCGCTAGGTGTGGATGTTGTGTGTGCGCGTAGCTTTTGGGCAAGGCCAGAGACACACCTGTGCAGGGTACAAAGCGAGACAGATGTCAACTAGAAACACAAGCCCTTAGAATCAGGAAAGGGGGAAAGGCCAGGACGAGGTGATGTAATGATCACTGAAAGAACGAATGAGTAACTGTGTGTGCACTGCATTTAAGCCCTCTTGGCCTGCATTACAAACAGCTTTGTATTCAAATGACTGGGCTGGAATGAGGAAGCACATTAACGTACCGCTTGAACCTGAAGAACAACATCACAATCTGTAAAATGCACCATTAAATAAATGCGTTACTTATGGTTACACTTCGCCAAAAAAGTGACCATAAGCTGCGGCACAAATTCTCAGTCACGGCAGCTCAGTAGAATAAGTCGAACCGTATCCTAAGTGGACCAAAACATTGTCACCGATCAGATGTGACATGTAGTCCTGTCCCAGAAGATGAGTGTGAATGCTGGTGCCAGCTGGGAACCATAAGGGCCCATTCACACTGACTGTACAGCTAACAGATGTCTGCTTTAATGACCTCCCCTGACAGTGAGATCATTAACAGCTAAACTCAAAAATATAAATATAGTCTTCAGTGGGCTAAACAAGATGCACGTACAGAAGGCCTTCACAAAATGAAGATGTCCTCATTCTGAAATAAGAATAAGGCCGACCTCTTGGCTAACGTTACCTGGCATGAAGGGCAGAAATCACTCCTCATCACACCATGAAATCTGAGCCCATTATTTATTAATCAATGTGTTCCTTCAACGTGAAGCTATTTCAGGCACTGATCAGATAAAGGAGAAACCCCTCGCCCCTCACAAAACACTACCCTGCTCCTTCACTTAACAAAAGACTCTCACCACCATCCCCCGGGTCCTCCTCACATGGGCGACCATGTATCACGGCTCATAACCAGGCCAATGTGAACTGATGACATGATGTCTAACAGGCAGCAAGGAGCTGCTCGCTAACCAGCATCGTGATCTACAGCTGATTTTCGACACGACAAGCGGAGACCGGCTGACTTATCACCGTTTGCTTCCTGGATAAGGAGGTGTAAAAAAGTACAACCAGCAACCTGAAGCCTTGAGTCGCCCTCTGGCTCGCTCCCTCTTACCCGTTTTTGTTGCCTTCGGACAGCATTGTGGCCGGCCTTCAATGGGAATCCCCCGGGATAAAAACACACACCCTGTCGCGGATGGTTATTCCGGTCAGGCGTGGGTTGAAATCGGGGACGCGAAATAAAAAAAAATCCGGTCGCGGTTTGTTTCTGCTGCTGATTAGCCGTACACTGCGTCGGTATCAAGGATGCACTGCATGCATGACGGCCATGTTGGCTAGCGAGCCCAGTGTCAAGTCTGCCGGAGTGGGGGAAAATCTATGTTCCGGTCAATGATTTCCAAAATAAAAGCTCCGCTACATGCTCAGACCCATCTGTTAAACTCTGAAAGTGTAGATTAATTAATGAACTACGCTAAATGTAAAGACGAGCTCTGCTGCCAGCAAGAAAAATGTGAATGACACAAACAAGTCAACAGGGGGAAAGGCAACGAGGAAACGGAGGAAAAGGACCCTTTTTTTTCTCTCTAGAGAAAAGCAGCAGCAGCCACGCAGCTTGCGGGGCTGCCGCATTAACTGCCTGACAAGAAATACAAGCTGCTATATTTAGGAGAGACCAGTAAGAAAGCAGGGACAGGGTGTGTTTACAAGCTATTTAAGGTTTCAGAGATATTGAAAGCAGAAACATACATTTCTTATGCATTTCCATGCGGGAAAATTATATACAATGGTGATTTATTTCTTCCAACCTTTATGTGATTATGTGACTAATCACTTTAGTCTGAGCACAGCCAACGAAGAAAAGTTATATAAAGTGCAAAGTTTAAGAGAAACTGGTTTTAGTACAACCCAAGTTAATACAGCTCACAAACATACAGCTTATTCACGTGTCTTCAGTGCAGCCATGTCACTTTCTGTGGTAGTAATACATCACCATCTAGTGACATTCACATAACAAAACCCCCCTCCTCTTCTAATGTTCTCATTTAACTTACATTAGGTGATATGCTATGTGAAAAGATGTGGGGGGTTTTGTAGAAATTAGACAGGTTTTAGTAGGAACTTCTTGTATTTAAAATACACATTTGATTCTGCTCTTTCCTCTGAGGGTTAAGTGAAGCAAGGTGTGCAGGAGCATGAACAGACAGCTAGAAAATGAAATCATCATCCTCAATATCCCAAAAAATTGAGTCCATGTTGTCTACATAGATCCAAGTATTGAGTATTGCTTTTGTGATGTCATTACCACTTTACAGTTACCAGCTTCTCTACGAACGTTAATCCTGAAATGTGATCATGTTTATTCACCTCCGCCAGCAAAACCAAAAGTTGAGATTTCCAAAAAGGGGGATACAGAGAATAGCTGAATTATTTGGACAAAAACCTGCGAAAACACTGAATGAATATTAACACAGATTGTTGTGAAATATTACAGGGAGCCACTAGAGTAATTCGTGTGTCACAGCACATTATTGAATAGTGCATGAAGTGAAAAGCGTAACAGACAGAGCAAGAAGGTGTTGCATTGCAGTTAACAATGACGGTGTAATCTTTCAACTCCAGCAACATGTAATTTAAAGACTGAATTCCACTTGTTATTAAAGCAGCTACAGGGATTTTTAACTGGTTATGACATATATTGATGCCTCTTGGATATTTCCATAAAGGTTTTCTAAATGTGACCGAAACGAAGAGCCTAAGTTTACATTTTCCCAGGCAAACTTTCACAGAAAGTTTTACGTTAGCCAGTTAAAAGGGAGCAGGAGGAGATTTTTCTTTTAAGAATTTTATTTTTGACATTTAACTGTATGGTTATAGCTGATACTGCGGCAGGATCAGCAAAGAGAAAGAGACAGTGATAGACCACGGGCGAAAACGAGTCGACCTTGATCGGTCGTTCATCTCATGGAGAGAATTACTCGATTAGTAAGGATTCAAAACTGATGCTGAAGTGTCCCTCTTCTTTTGGCTGTGTTCAGTCCACAGAGGTACAGATCACGGTGGACATTACTGTAATACAACTTATATTCACTTACTACTGAGCTATATCTCGCTGTATATAAGACATAACATTACAAGGGTATGTTGATAATTTAGCTTTCTCAACTAAATTACTATTACAGAGCAATCTGTTAATTGTAGGCTTACATCCTAAGTGTATGACCGTTATTAATAGTAATTAATCCCCATAGCCACAAACAGACACATTACCTCATTGTTACGCATCCTGATAACAGGTGTGTTCAAAGAAAAGTAAATAGTTTTAATTTAATAGGCATTTCTGTCCACAGAAAATCAACAGATTTAACACGAGGGAAGTTCCTTGTAGTTCCTTCAAGGCAAGCTGTATTTTAATGATGGTTACTGACCTTTTTGAAAGGGAGCGTTTCTCTGCCCCTTTGCTCTGGTTAGTCTTTTTCTCATCCTCTGATTCTTGTCCTTGGTCTGCCTTCTGTGAAAATTATTCAAAGTGAAACAATGAAAAACAAATAGCAGCATGCCGAAACATGATTTAGACTGAAAGTGCATCTTAAAATAAGCTTGAAAGGTCAGTTTTCAATAAAATAAATACAGGAGGCAGAAATCAGGTTAAAAGGGAAAAGGCAAAATAACTGGAAACATTAGACAATCTTCTGCAGCAGTTTGGGACCAAAATGATTTCTTATAACTCGGAGATGTTTATCAATGCAGTAGTGAGTGACGGACACCCACATCACTGACCTTCAGCTGCCTGGCAGGGCGGGTTTTATCCCCGGAGGAGGAGGAGGACTGTGATGAGCGTGGAGAGGAGTCTGACTGGGAGTCAGAATCTGATGAGGATCCTGAATCTTGGACCTTCATCCCAACCACCCTGTCTTTGTTGGCCGCCTCCTGTCTCTTGTTCTTCTCCTCTAGCAGTTTCTCCTTCCTCCTCCTCTCCCCCTCCTGATGTTTTCTCTCTTTTTCTTGCTCGTCTTTCTGACGCTGTTTCTCCTCCTCTTCCAGTCGTTTCCTCTCCTTCTCTTCTTCCTGCTTCTTCTTCTCTCTCTCCTGTTCTTGTATCATCCTTCTTTCTCTCTCCTTCTCCTCCTTCATCCGCCTCTCTTCCTCCTTCTCTCTGTTCTCCTGCAGCCTCTTTCTCTCCAGTCTCTGCAGTGGAGATTCACTGGAACCGGCAGACCCAGCAGAGGAGTGTGCGGCCTCTCCCGACATATCTGCAGCCGAGGTGGCCTCCCCTGCACAGAAAGCCCCCTCTGACTCCATCTTGTGTACGAGCAGAGAAAGGGGCCCCGGCCTGCGCTTCACAGAGGGCTCAGGACTGCTGGAACGTGAGCTTGAGTCAGAGTCTTGCCTCTGCATGGTGGAAGGTGGGAAGGGCGTCACCCTTGGACCACGTGCAGCCTCAGGGCCTTCACCCTCCTGGTCGTCTGTGTCTGGTGGGCTCTGCTTGGGAGTGTCAGGTAGGGGAAACAGGTCAGGGGGTGGAGAGGGAGGAGGAGTGGGGTGGCGCAGTTGCATTGGGGTGTGGTGTGCCTGTGGTGGTGGGATGTGCTGCGGAGGCTGGAGCTTGCGTTTGGATCTTACAACTGTTGATGGCGCACTGGGGGGCATCTGCTGTGGCTGGGGAGGCACTCTGTTGCCCCTTCGTGACCCGCCAGGACCAGGCCCCCAATCCTCGTCATCCTCACTGTCGTCGTCGTCATCTTCATCATCGTCCTCGTGACCTCCTGTTGAGACCCCGGCAGATCGGCTAAGGTGAAGGACGGGGTGAGCTGATCCTGGTTCACTCGGTGCGGTGCCCTCCTTCTGCTGGGCTCGGGATACGGCAGGGGGCAGCCCCTGGCGGTCAGGCTGACCCAGGACTCGCACTGACAGAGATGCTACGGCACGGGGAGGAGAGGGAGCTGGCGGCTCCTTGTGTCCTTGATGAAAGGTGGCTCTCTGCATCCTAGCTCCTGGAGCCTCAAGGGACTCCTGGGGGTGGAGGTTAGGACCGGGGCCCATGTCAGTCCCGCAGGCCATCATCCCATGACCCATCACTGAGTCTCCTCCTCCCTTCTCCTCCGCCCTGGTCATTGAGGGCTGGGAGGGTATGGAGCGATGCAGCTGGGCAAAAATAATGGCGTCAGTCTGAGAGAAGCCAAGATGACTACACTTGTTTTATACATCAAAATATTTTGAGGCTTTTTATGTCCAATCCGTTTGAAATAATTCTGTGTAAAGTAAAAAGCACTACCTAGGAATGTGCATGATAAGTAAAACATTATCTAATCAATGTGTAGCAGCTTAGTGTTTCCTGTTTTGCGGGATCAAGTTTTCCTCATTTGACTGTTCAGTGTGTGGAGGTTGCTGACCTTGTCAGAGACATAGGAAGAACTATCATTGTCCTCCGAGTGGTCGTCATCCTCCTCCGGCACTGCTGGGCTTTCTGTCCGAGGGGGACACAAGTCAGGGGTTAGAGGTCAGCACCAATGTGAGGATTAATACTCACGACACACACACACACACACAGGTTCCCAACCAAGGACAACTTTTGAATAAATGAGGCTCAATCAATTTCTCTTCAGTATTTTTTCATAATCCATTAAAGCCCTACTCCAGACAGTTTTAACTGCCGTTTTTGGTTAACGTTCTTTCTCAAACAGAGAATAGGGGTGTGGTTCTATTAATCTGTTGAACTGTATGTAAAGACTTCTGATACCATTTCCTCCGCCGATGCATTAGTAAAACGGCCGTCAGTAAAATGCATGTTGCAGACTGTATATAAGACGGTGGCAGGTGAAAGTGCGGCGCGTTTTCTGTCATCTGTCCTCCAACACCGCACGCACAGATGCCATAATGAAAATGAACAGCACACTAAACCAAGAGGAGGAAACTAAAAAATAAAATGAAGACCCTCTGTTAGCCAACGTTCTGCAATAACTATGCTAGCTAACTACACTTAGTTAACTTAGCTAACTAAACTAGAAAGACAAACCGACCATCAGACACAGAGAAACATACTTGCTGTAAGTTGTAAGTAAATAACATGATAAATTAGTTAGCTAGCTCACAACGATGTTTATCGGTTTGATGCTCTGACTTAACGAGGCATGACAGTGCACCTGCGCAAGCTTGGAGAATGACGTATGAGTTATGGAATTACTATAGTCATACGTCATCACCCCGTTTTAACAACTAAGCAACTTCTGAAACTTTGAGCACAAAATTAAGCCATTTGTCAAAAAATATTTGGCGAACTATGCGGGTGATCAACATTGTAAGGAAATGACTCAAAAAAATATGAAATATTTAAATTCTCAGGAGTGTTTGTTTGTGTCTGATTTGTGATTGTGTGTGTTCATCTGTTTGTTATACCGTCTGCGTCTTCATCCTGCTGGGCCTCTCTCTCCAGTCTCTGGCGAAGGAGCTCCTGCTGTTTGGCCAGGTACTGTTTTATGAAGCTATTCTGGCTCATCTCCTCACCTATCTACAACACAATGAAGTACACAAAACAGCACTTTATTAATACTGTAAATATTAATTATTATTATTAGCACTTTTAAATTCACAGCCCTAAAGAGCAGTGACTGTGTGCACAGTCAAACATGGGTTCAGAGAGAAGTATTGCTGGAAAAAACAAATGATCTCACAAGTATTTATTAAGAAGAGTTTGTCTTAGTCTGGAATGCTCTGAGTTTGATCTCATGATAATACAGTACAGGTTTGTTGTGCTTTTCTACAGAACTTAAAATGACATATGTTGAAAAGCCAAAGAAACTAAATCATTTTTTTTTAAAACTCTTCTTACCTGTGAGTTGGGCTGCAGCCCGCTGTGAGAGGAGGATGACTTCTGAAGATTTTCCAGCATCAGAGCCTGCAGGGAATTATTTGACTATGAAATACTGCAGCACTAGGAAAAGCAATAAAAATGCAGGCCAGCTGCTGCTACAGTCCTGAATAAGTTTTTAATGCTATTTTACCTGCCAAAGTACATGTATAATTTGTCAGGGCACTAATTTACTCCTGCATCCTTTGCACTCTGCTCATTGCACTATTATCTCAATCTGTCTATATTGTTTTTGTTTAGAGTGTGTGTGTGTGTATATATATGTGTTCTCTATACTGTAGCCTGTGTCTGATTTATTATTGTATGAGTAAGCACATTGTGAGCGATGGACAATCCTGAGTCAAATTATATCGTATGTGTACAGCGGATTCTGATTCAGGGCCACATGGAAGTGTCCCGGGGTTGTACCGATTAACATGCAAACCATATCAATTACAACTAATAAATAATTAATTACACTCCAACCAGGGACCTTTGGTGCATGTCACTCCCCTCTCTCGCCTCACATTTGCTGTAAAGTCCAGTCCAGTTCCAGCATATTTTAGACTCAAACAATTCACATTCAACAACTTTTAGGACGTAAAAAATATTTTTGCCACCAGATTTTTTTATTCCTGGCAGTGCTTTTGAAACCACACTTTGGATAAATAAAATGCATTATAAAGAACAGTTAAAGGAATAATTAAAATGTTTAAAATGTCAGGTAACATTTTCCTGGGGGAGGGACTCATGACCAGTACTTCTAAAATCCTGGCTACGGCCCTGAAACCTATAGTTGTTTATGGGCTGAATGTCTTGTGCAAATAAATAGCGGTGATAAAAATAACTTAAAACAAAATGTAGTAAATTGCTCGTTGGAGGACCTTGTACAAAAATGTGTGTTTACATCGCAGTGCGCGCCCCCGTAACCACACAGACCGAGCGCGGGCACGGCCGTGTCCTGTACACTATGTGCGGCTGTCCGCTTGCTTACACTCAGCTTAGGCCTCGACTTGACAGGTGCACAGTTCAACTGTGTGCAACACGGTGCACTGCGAGTAGTTACGGATCAAGTCTGAAGTCGGTCGGTGGACAGTTTCGTTGTACTGTCAGCTACAAATAACCGACAACAAAAACAGTTGTTTGTGTGTAATAACATGTTCCAGGCGATTTATGTATTCCCGCTTCCCGAGCCCACACACCGTTACGGCCTCTAACGTTAACCCCCTGCCGTCTCTCGTCTCCTGCTGAACTTAGACAGACTCGACAGGCGTCCGTAACATGAGCGAAATCTTACCCCTTTCAGTCGCTTCATGAGTGTGTTTTTCTGCCCGCTTTTTGGGAGGTTTCTTTGCTCCAGCGCGGCTTTTAAATCCGCGACTCTCAGCGATTGTAGAGGTTTTCCATCAAGCGTAATATCTTCGTCCGCCATTTTGCTCCCTCCGCTTGTCTAAACTCCAACAAGCGTCGCTACGGCTGCTGCTCGGCGTCAAGGCTCGGTAGTTTCCGGAGAGGTTCGGTCTTTTCCGAATCACATCCACAGTACAGCGACAGTTGTAAACAATTATCGGCCCAATTTAGGCACCTAACCAAACATTTTAAAGATGACTAACTGTTTTTATTTAGTTTTATCAGAATTTGGCTAGTCTACGGGAAAGTACGGTCTCTGTAGCAGAAAATGTACTAATTATTTTTTAAACAACAAATAGATATCCTGCAGATACAATAAATAAAACATTTTGACAGACTAATACTGCAATCAATAATCCAAACACGTTTGTTTTAATTGCAAAAGATGTATTTGTGCATTCTGAACAGGAATACAAGACAGACATCAAATATAGTGTTAAAAGTAAGAGGTTTAGGCCCGCTTACTACAGGAGAAAAGTCAAAGATTAACTTCTACACCGCAGCAAATACGGATAACAGACTCAAATGAGTTCAGATAGTGTAAAAAACTTTCTTGTATAAAAAGAAAATACAGCCATATCTTTAAACTGTAACTTAACATAGTTTTCCAAAAAAAAAAAAAAAGAATACATTTGTTGGTTGTCAATTAGCTAGTAAAACCACCCATTGTAAAGGATGTGGATATATAAAATTTAAGCAAATTAAAGCCATGCAAAATAGAAAGCAAAAACATAAAAACTGACCTTCATAAATACAGATCTAAAGGTTACTTGCCGATCATGCTCTCTTCATACAGACTGTAAAGAGCCCGTCTGGGCAGACAGGTATTCACTAGGTAATAATTCAAACCTCCACAAGGTGGCACTGCAGCAGAAAAAAAATAAATGTAAAAGCAGAAAGATATTTCTCCAAGAAAGATTTAAACTCAACCACACAACTGACAAAATGATTATGCAATGCCCTGATAATATTGATTTGGATCTGAAACATAAAAAACTTCAATAGTATGTTAACCAATATGACTGACGATACAGAAGATAGATCATTTTTTAGGTATTATAATCAACTTTGTAGAGCACCCAAATATAAAGCTGGAGATGTGTTTACAAAGATTTGTAGTGTAAAAATGACAAACATGTTCAACTGTTCAAGTCATCTGTGTGATCAACATATCACATCTGATGACTGGCATAAATGAAAATACAGACAGCAAATAAAAAGGTCTTAGATGGACCAGGAGATATGGTTAAGACCAACATCACTATATACACACACACACACACGTGCTTCGAGTTTCTGTGTGAGAATCTTACAGGAAACTAAGATGAAGTCAAAGAAGAGTAAGCATGTAGACCATGACAAGACATGTAGAGACAGGTGAGCTTGGTCAACAGGTTTTCTTATTCACTGCCAGGATTCAGCGTGACTGTGGGAAAGAAAAGGATTAAGCAATTTCTCACACAACTATCACTTTTCACTCTCAGTCACTGCATCAATTCCCAGATATTAACTCTCCCCTGTCAGACAGGACTTTAATTATTCCCCATGAGGTGTGTAAGACTGCGAGAACGTAATCTGAACATGTACTGAGAGATGTTGTGTAATCCTCACAGAGTGGATTACACGCTGTACCGCAGTTAATCTTTGCTTTCTAGTGGAAATGGGTACAACACAAACACAACACATACTTGCACAGATTAAGAATGGAGGTCAGGCAAACTTCTTACTCTACACACCCTATTCCATTTCTCACATATTAAGCCCAAAACACTCGATATGCTGCTTCTGCATGATAATCACAAAAGGCCTTTCAGGTATCACAGTCAAAAGTAGGCCAGGACCAGGATGCGAGGCCTCCTTCCGATCTATTTTTGGAATAGGGGGGGGTGGCTGAATAAATAGAGGAAGGAAGGAAAAATTGCTATCATGTGAGGGAAAGAAAACATGGCAAACATAATAAAGCTAAGCTCCCAAGACAAGCAGTCTGCACAGACTCTCAAAGCCACAGCAGGGCTTCAAATATTCAATAAGTTAACACTCAAAAAGACAAGCGTGCCTGGCGTCAAAGCACAGAGGTCAGTATATAAACAAAGGCAAACCAACGCACACTTGGAGGACAGAACCAACAGTCAAAACCCAGCTTAGTAACAGCTGCAGCGAGGTCGAAAGCTTGCAGGATTCAACCTCGCTTGCTTCAATCCCATTCAAACGAAAGGTAATGAAAGAGTCTAACAACAAATAAGGCATTTCAAAGAGAGAAAATATACGTGTAGTGTAAACAAAGTCTTTACGCAAGTGATAGGAAATATCATGAAGATATTTCTGCCAGACGCTGGAGCAGAGTGGAGAAGCCGGCTGCTTGCTGGGAGAGCTCAGCGACTCGGTCCACCATCTCCTGGGTGGCGGATACTGACGGGTAGTTTTGTGCAGCTCCCTTTGTTGCCACGACGACTGATTTCAAGGCCTGGCAGAGTCGTCCCCCTGAGGTTGTGATCTGAGATAGAGAAAAGAAATAAAAAAAGAGTTATTACACAGCTATTTAAATTATGTAATGAAAAGTAAGAAAATGTGCTAAGGCTTTTCTCTACATACCTTGGCCCGGAGGTCGGCAGAGGTGAGAAGGCGGGAGAGCGTGTCCCCAATAAACACCAATTTGTGCGCTGTCACAATGAGACTCTTTCCTCTGGCGACAAAGATGCGGGGCGGCTGGTTCCCCTGCACGCTGCTGAAGAGCACGTCGATGGCGTCTGCCAGGCAGGAGAGGTGAGCGAGGCTCTGAGAGGAGTAAAAGGACAGCAGCTCCGAGTCCTCCAGGGAGAGCGACACCGGAAGACCAGGGGACGGGGTCAACTGTCAAGGGAAAGACGAAACTAGTACTTGTAAGGGAAAGTCATGTTTCAGAGTCAAATAGGCCACGAGCACTAAATGTATCATTATCTTTCGGTTCAGATAAATCGGAGAAATTGTATGGCTGAGTGGTCTTGCACTTGCAAACCCTGTAACAGCAGGGGAAATCTAAACTGAACGAAAAACGCTGTCGGATTAACTTTTGCTGACGTAACGTTCAAGTCTGTTCAAGTTTTTGCTCCATAACAAAATTAATTGAAACTAATGACTAGAAGGCAAAATGATAAGTGAGGTATGCTTTGAAAAAGAGTTCATATGCATGCATTTCATTAACCTGAATGTGCCAAAACATGAATAACAACTGGAATAGCACCTGCTGCACCTCCTCACTGATGAATGCAGAAGCTGGATGACTGTGTTAATGTAATGTAGGGAGCAGTCAGACATGTGAGTCTTAAAACGCACGCACACACACACACCCCCACACACACACACACCCACACACCCCCACACACACACACCCCAACCCTGTTGAAAGAATGACTGCTTTTCTGTCACTTATTGTCCTGCAGCCTCCATTCAATGTAAGGCAAGACTGTTAAGATTTACAAGTGACCTCTTGTTTGTCGTCTATGGCGTAACCAGGGACTCTAGCAAGGAGTGGGAAAAAAATGCAGAAGGAGTGATAGGAAAACATGACCTCAGTCACAAGCAACAGATTGTGAGATAAGAGATTCATGAGACGTAAATGAAAAGGGGTTAATGTGACATTAATCGAGGTGGTGTTGTGTAAACACGTGTAGACTGGAGATCGAGCTGCTGCAAGCTGGATTAATGAGTCACAGTGATCAATAGTAAACAGAGCGCACTGTGAAATCAGAGTGCATCAATGACTTGTCTGTGCAGACTTGCTGCTTGTGTTTCTGTACAAGAAAAACTTTCTGAGAATGACAGACTGGACTGTAGGAGCTAAGGATTATGGTAAAAAAAAAAAAAGAGAGCAGACTCACCCTGGGCTCTGCAGTGATTGTTTGTATTTGTCCATTCTCAGTCAGGACATCGGGAGGTGGCTCGGGTTTACCCTAGTGAGGGGAGAAGAAAACAGTCAGGCATGTATGCAGACACACACTTACAGACTTACATGTATGAATCCAGGGTGTTGAATCACAGAAAACACACAGATAGTATCCTGCACGAGGCAGATGTAAATAAATTAAATTCATCATGAACACTCACCTGCAGCTTGACGTATCCAACACTGTCTCCAGAGGGTACCGCGACAGAGATGGGAGTCAAGCCGATCCCTGCATACTCATTGCTTGGGTCATCTTCTCCATCAATAGGGCCCACTGTCAGTGTCACAGTAGACAGAGTAGGAGGTAAGGGGAAGGAAGGCTGAGGGGTCGGGGGCAGGGGCCTCTCCTGGATCCAGCTACCTTTACGGGAGCCCATCCCACTTCCCGAGGACTTCCCATCAGGCACTGGGAGCGCAGGCAATGGCCTGCGGGACAGGGATTCTTGGGAAGGCAGACGGGGTCGGCCCTGAGCCTGCAAGAGGAGGGCACTTTCCTCGAGGGAGCGCTGGACCAGCACCAAGAGTCCTTCAGATGGAGGAGCGTTACCGATAGCAGATAACGCCGGGAGGAGGTCAGACAGACGAGCCCACGCCTGCTGAAGAGGCGGTGCAGGATCATCTGAATGATTGGCTTTCCAGGTCGACAGGATTTCAGCCAACGAGGTGGCCAGGTCCCGTGACGACAGAGCGGAGGCCGGGCAGGAGGCTGTGCTCATCACCGAGTGGACTAGGCAGGAAAGCGAGGCTCTCCACTGCACGTCACCCGAACCGTTGCTCGAGACAGAGAGGCGGCGGGTAGAGGTGGAGGAGGATGACAAAGAGTGAGGGAGGGCGTCCGCAGTCAAAGCTGGCATGTCATAGATGCCACAGTCGGGCTCAGAAGAGTCCCGGTTTTGACTTCCACCGCTGGCTCGTTTCTCAGGTCCAGGGACACAATAGACCTGTCCAACCTGGGAGGCGTCCTCGCCAGAGAGGCTGGTAGTGGACTCGCCTGGGCCCAGGGGCACACCTGGAAGTGTAGGAACACTGTATACATCTTCATCACCTTCATCAGACTGGACATCTGACGTGGACATATTCAGAGTGATGGTGGGGACATTGTAGACCTAGAAGTTGGGGGAGAAGACAGAAGGAACGCAAAGAATGAGACCGAGACATAATGTGTTCATTACACCAAACACAGTTTGGGTTTTCTGTGTCAGGGATGGAGAAATGATGCAGTTTAAGCCAACTTCATCAACACTACTGTACATACACAGAGTTCAGAACAAATCAAATGTTGTCTACTGTGAGTTCAGAAGACTTTAAACCTGGACCATGCATGAGTAATCAGACCAAACTGGTTAAAGTGGGCAGACACACATTCGTCCCCTTAAACAGCCAAGTGCAAAAGCAATGAGTCAGCAGTCCACATCCAGTAACTGCGGGTAAAGAGGAGAAAATAATCCAACTGTTGGCAGGCTTTTTCAAGAAACATTAAAGGGAAGACCACTGGGGGGGCAGGGTGCTGGTGGTATGGCCTTGGTATGGCCCTGACAGATGGGTGTGACTGAGAGAAAAATAGCAGCAGCATTTGGACTGGATAGACAGGCTCTCACAGCCGACAGCGACAGACAGGTGTGGCCTCGCCTTGGGGGGGGGGCACAGTGATGGTGGAATGTGGGAAGAAATGGTGAAAGGGTGTTTGAAAGTCACCTCATGCTGGTGACTTGTTTCACTTGTACGGACACGACTTAAACACACTGGCTTACAATAGTTCACAGCCATTTTTTGGCTTCTGCACACTGTAAATGTTGTCCACTGTAAGAAAGGATATTCATGTGGTAGTTTATGTTGTCTTAGATGCTGTTTAAAGTCTACCCTTCAATGAGCAATGCAAATACCCATATTAATCCCAGATGTGAGAGGAGATCTAACAGGACAAGATAAACCGGAAAAGAAGCTCCCTTTAAAAAACAAACAGGTACTAACAAGGCTGGTCTAAAGAAAGTGTTATCTCTACCTCTGTCTCAGAGTCAGCTTGTGGTGGGACACAGCGAGGGGTGTCATAGATGCCATCATCACCACCAAGGGCAGACGGGACTTGACGCTGCCACCTGCCACTGGGAGGGGTATCATACACCTACCAAGACAACGAAAGCACAAAACCAAATTATGAAAGCAGGTCAACCAAATTTTTTATATTTTTCCAAACATGCTGATGAAATATGTAAATCCACTCTACTCAAACTCTCCCAATGTAAAGTACATTTTTGGAGCAATTAAAATGTGTGTCTACCCCTGCTAAAACAACAATATGAACCTACATTAGAACACGTTTCTAGGCAGAGCAACGATTTCAGGGTTGTTAGTTAAGAAGCCTTCACAAACCTGGTCATCCACAGGATCCAAGCAATCCTGATTTTCTCCTTTTTTGTTCTGCGCATTGCACCTCATCTCCAGGCCATTGTTCGTCCTTTCCTCCTTGCTCTGAGGAGTTCCCCTCTGCGTGTCCACTTCCTGCTGCAGGCTTGCAGGAGTGACCTGAGCTGTGGGTTTGGGGTTTGAATCGGCTGGCGACGGGGCTGTTTGTTGTGCGTCTTTTCTGGTGACTCCCCTCACTGGAGGTGCTGGTGGAGGAGGTTTGCGGGCAAAACTCGGCGATCCAGGAACCCTGACCTGCCCTGCTCTGACCAGCAAAGGGGATCCCCGGTTACAGGCCAGGCCGGGTTTGCTCCTGGCAGCAGCAGGGTTGGGTGACATTCCCTTGAGCAGAGGTCTGGGAGATGCTTGGGCAGGGGATAACTGAGATGGGTGCTGGTGGGCCAAAACTGTGGCTGGAGTCCTGTGATGGTTTGCTCCTACTAGGGTGGGTGTTTGGTACATGACAGGTGTGTCCTGGCTCACTTTGGACTGGGGGGTACCTGGTGTTCCACTAAATGTGGAGGGGCCATTAGAGCAGACTCCTCCTGTTGGGGATTGGTAAACATCGTCACCTGCTAGTGGTGTACCTTTGGGCACCAAGTAACAGTCGTCTGAGTGTCCTGTTGTTAGTGTTTCTCGAGGGACTAGATATGTAGTGTCCTCTGGCTCATCCGCTGCCCTTGGTACTCCAGTAGGGGAGAGGTACACAGACTCTGTAGCCATGAGAGCTCCTGGCTGCCTGGTATGCTGAGCTGCCGAAGGCATGGGACTTACTGGAGTCTGATAAAGAGTTCCTGTCATTTCTGTGCCTCGTCCTCTCAGAGAGGGTGAGCGTGGACGCCCCGCCACCCCGATTTCCCAGTCAGGTCTGGGCCGGGTGCCAGAGCTGGAGTGCGAGCGAGGGCGCCCGCCTTCGACTCTGCGGAGCTCCCCAGGCCTTGAGACACCTCCTCGTCCCTCAACCACGCCTGGGGGGGAGCGATACACTCGATCTATGTCCTCTGCACTTCCGCTGACAGCAGTCTGGGCCAGTGGGGAAGCAGGCGTCAGGTAGACAGAGTCCTCAACGGAGCCATGACGAAGGTCTGAGCCTGGGGGTGGGGCGGTCTGCAGGAGTCGAAGGCGGTTGGCCGGGGCAATGCCCTGTCTGCCATGCAGGGAGCAGAGCCACCAGCCCGGCCCGCCGCTCTGCTCCTGTTCAAGAACCATCAGGATGTCACCCTTCCGGAAAGCCAGCTCCTCTGGGCTCTCTGCCGCGTTGTCAAACAGCGCCTTGGCCAATACCGTCTGAGAGAGAGAACAAGAGTAGAAATCATAAACACGGACACTCCCATTCATTAATTAACACACACCCAAACGGCCGTATGAAAGTAGGTTTTAATCGACAGCCTAAATTAACACAAACTAGTGCCTCACATCTGCACACCATAAACCAGTGCACTGACATGGCACTGCCAAGTCAGCAGTATAAAAAGGTTGATTGTTTAGAGCCGCTGAATGGAGAGTGAATAGGAGTGAAGAGGGAAGGTCTCGTAAAACGTCCGTGTGAGAGACAGAGAGACAGGAAGAGGACGGGCAAACAGACACAAAAAAAAAATCATAATCTAAATCCAGCATCACACAAACTCAAAAACTCACAGCTGTGAGGGGCACGTTCAGGGAGGATCAATGATCAGATGGACACAAGGGCTTAATGGTAATGAGCGAGATGAGAGCAGAGAGGGGGAGGGGATGAGAGACACATCTGTCCCTTGCTCTTCAGGATTTAATTGCCAACCCAAAGCCAGAGTGTCCGGCCCCCTTTCATTTTCTAAACCAACCCCCTGGGGATAACTAGGCTCTATTGAGCCATGTGGGACCCCCTTAGGACAGTAATGGAGGCAATGAGGAACCTGATAAAAAAATATATAGATATGGTGATAAAATATAGGTAAAAACATGTCCAGTAAATTCTATTGTTTTAGTTTCACGTTAGCTTTGATCTCATCTTTGATTTGTCCATCGATGTGACACAAAAGTACATGCAAATTCATGCAAACAAAGAAACAATTACTGTACTCACGGAGACAGACATTGTTGCTCAGTTAACAGTTGAGTCTCAGAGAAACTATAAGTCAAGGTGGTCCAGATCAGTCGGGGTCACCCATCTAGATCAGCTGGGGCTCCCATGGACGTGCTGGTCGCCAGAGAGACTCGGTGCAGAGGCACAGCTGGGTCTGGAGAGGACACATCTCACAGTCCGGGCGCCTCGTCGTCTCCGCCTTCATATGGGTCCTGCAATCCGTGCAACGAAGGGGGAAAAAACGCTTTTCACGACTCGTTTATAAAACACACAGAGGAAGTTGGTGAACCTAAACCCATTCGTTGGGAGACACATGTGAAACGAGAGCTGGGCAGGCGGCGGCGGCAGCAGCAACACCTGTCCTTTCCACGCCCAGTAACGTTACGTTGAATGCAACCCCGTTCAGCGAAAGCTAACGTTAGCTTAGCATTGTAGATAAATAAACGGCGTGTGCTCGCTATCACATATATATTCACTACACGTGTGTGTGTGGCCGGTAGCCAGGTTAAATGACAATTAATCTGAACAGTATCCAGCTAAAAATAACGTCAGCTGTGTTGTCGCGGCCTAGCTGCCGACACTGGCTAACGTTAGAGGCTGTTAGCAATGTTGGTCATCTTCATCGCTGCTGAAGTTCAAAACAAACAATGGCCGCTCATGCAGATTTATTTGCAAGCAGTCGTAAAGCACCCAAAAGCCTATTAAATAATTACCTTGCTTTTATTTTTCTTATCGCCGAGAACTTGCCTTCGTCGTACAGTCAGAGTTATCCGTGAAATCACTTCTTCTCAGGCGTGAAAATCTGTGTCCATCGGCGTTCAGTCATCTTCGGGGATGACAACAACACGAAACGCACTTCAGTGATCTACGAGCATAGCACTAGTGTCCCCGCACGGCGTTAGACCGATCCAGCAGCCGTGAAGTCGGATTGGTATCCGCAGCTCGGGAGACACGGCCTCCCTGATTGGCTCGTTTTTGCTGGGTGCGTTTAGGGACGTCCGAATGTGGTCGTTAATCAGAAAATCCAGCTGTAAATCGATTAAAAATGAAATATGTGCCCCAAACTATCACTATCATCGGCTGGTGCAGCACAAGAACACATTCTCTAAACAAATTATTAGCGATTGTAAAGCGATTATTACACCGGACGTGGTTGTACATTTGAGTCAAAGAGCGGCCGATTGCGTTGGGCCGTTTGCTGGAGGCTTTTATTTTGACAGCTGCTGGACACTTACCGGAAAAACACTGACTGCAGGGAGCGACCACATGAGTCGACGATAACGGTAGTCAAAGTTCTAGCAACAGACTTTGAGAGTGTTTTGACAGTTTCTTCCACCTCATGTTCAATTTTGCATGCACTGCAAGGTGAGATAATGCTCTTAAATACGTTCGCATAACTGTATTATTTGCTTGTAGCCTGAACTGAACTGAGTTATCTGTCTGCCTGTGTAAATACCATAGACTGTTTAAATAAGTAAATACCAAATATGTTATCATTGCTGTTGCTTTACTATGCAACAATTACTGTTTTTTTTATTTAAGTAACTAATGAAGCTATTAACTTATGTGTCTTATTCACCACTGCTGTCAGAGTCCATTATGACCTTTGCCCTAGTTACCAAGTGTTTTCATTAAAATCTTGGACTGTTCTCTGTTCACAGGTGATGTTGAGGAGTGTATTCAGGTGCCTTAGGACCAACCCTGTTGCTGGCCAAAGGAGTATGTCTCAAAGCAGCCTTGCTGGAAAGGTAGCCATAGTCACTGCCTCCACAGATGGGTAAGAATTACATGATTAACTCCTGTTCTGTTTATACAGCCATGAAATACACAGAACAGCAAATAAGAAAATCACTTTGGCAATATGCTGCCCTGATGAAGCAGTGGTGCAGAATGGATAATTAATCTATACTAGTTTGTGATCTTGTGAATAAAATTCTACAAGGATATTTTCTTTCTAAGGCAAAGTCTTACAAATGACATGAAGGAATGACGCTCATTTTATTAAGCTTGTATTGAGAGCATCTTCACCTTCATGATAACGGGGAACTGTGACTGCAACACCACAAGTCAAGACAAGAAATTGCTGAGCAAACTGTATCAGTAAACACTGATCATGACTCATGAGCCAGCGTGCTGTAATTTACCCGTTAATAAAAAGGGGACAAAACTTTACTGGACTCCACTCACCCTGCCTTTTAAACTAATAACTGAGACATATTTGAACAAGGACAACAAGTAACAGTACGTACAGGCTGTGTGCCTGCCTTTTCAACACCAGTGAAGTTATTATTCTCTATGGACATTTATTTATTGCTGTACTGTTTTATTATGTTTTGTGAGGTGACCTTGAGTGTTCAGAAATGCGCCTATAAATAAAAAATAAAATGTATTATTAAATGGAACGCAGTGGAACACATCATGTGGTGCTGATAGCATCCCTACGTTGGTTTTATTTATTTTGTTTTATATCTTCAGCATCATCATGTTATGTCCCAATGTTTCTGTTTTGTTTTATATGAGCTCACTGAAGCAGATCACATTGAAATGGCCACGAATCAACACATCGTGAATCCATACATTTGAATCCTCAAAGGATGACATCTGAAATGGTGTCTCATAATAGCATCGTGTAAAAACAGCTACAATATGTTGACGATAACAACAGTTGTTACAGACTTGATCCCTCGCTGTGACGCTCTCCTCTTCCTCCTCAGAATTGGACTCGCAGCAGCTCAGGCTCTGGGAAAGAGAGGAGCCCACGTGGTGGTGAGCAGCCGGCGGCAGGCCAACGTGGACAAGGCTGTGGCACTGCTGCAGAGCCAGAGCATCCAAGTGACTGGGACCACCTGTAATGTTGGCAAGGGAGAAGACAGAGAAAAACTGGTTCAAATGGTGAGTATTTCTTAATTCTGTCAATATTATATGGTTCTCAGACAACTGTATCAGCGAGTTTGGGGCACATGGCCTCATACCCATAATTATGAGTATGTCAGGGATTAATTTGACTTATAACCTCAATAATAGTTCTGTGTTTGGAATAGACTGTGGATCAGTGCGGGGGCATTGATATCCTTGTATCCAACGCAGCAGTCAACCCTTTCTTTGGGAACATCATGGACTCCACAGAGGAAGTCTGGGACAAGGTACACACAACAAACGCAAAAGTCAGAATTGTTAAAATGAGTCAGGGGCTGCGGTCTAAAACATTCTTCTTCCTACTTTTTTATTTTAACACAGGAGAATGTATGGGGTCATTTTAATATTAAGACTTCTTCTACATTTTTGTCCAGATCCTGTCTGTAAATGTGAAATCAGCCTTCCTCCTGACTAAGTCAGTGGTGCCTCATATGGTGAAGAGGGGGTGAGAGACCAACTATAAGATGATTCAGCATTCAGTGTTACTATACAACTGTCAACTGTATATTTAATTGCAGAATATTTATCTGTATTTTTCTTTTAGAGGGGGAAGTGTAGTATTTGTGTCGTCTGTGGCTGGATACCAACCAATGCAGGTCAGTGAGAGTATGAGCAGAACAATTACCTCATAAATAGGAGTTAGTCTCCCTGTAGAGTTGAAAAATAAAAAAAAATAAAGTGGGACACTCTTGGTTCATTGTCATCCTGTAAACCAAATCCCTTGATGCAGTGCATGTGTGTGATGGACACGTCTCTCTGTGTCTGCAGGCCCTGGGTCCTTACAGTGTGAGTAAGACAGCGTTGCTGGGTCTGACCCGGGCTCTGGCTCCCGAGCTGGCTCACAGTAACATAAGAGTCAACTGCGTGGCCCCAGGAATTATCAAGACCCGCTTCAGCTCTGAGGTGAGGATAAAAACACGCACCCAAACCCCTGTATTCACAACATGGGATTTTTGTTCTCATGTATTTTGTTGACTTCTGCCCTCTCCTACAATTACATTTCACTCGAGTCATGTTTTCTTTGTTCATTTACTCAGTTATGGGGAAATGAGGACATCATGGACAACTTCAAACAGCAGCTCAGCATTAAAAGGTGCAGCTCGTACTCACATGGACGTTTATCACTAACATGCTACACTGTGCACAAATATAGTAACCGTTTATGAATACCATATTTAAAATTTTTAGAGTTGGAGAGCCAGAGGAAATTGGCGGAGTGATTGCCTTCTTGTGCTCGTCGGGAGGCTTCCTACATCACTGGAGAGACTGTCACAGTGACTGGAGGGATTGGCTGCCGACTCTGAATCTCCAGTGGCAACAAAACAGATTTGCACTTGATTGTGTGTTCCTGTGTAGATATAATCTATGTTTTGATTACGTTTTGACTACTCGCACTAGTCAACCTGAACAGAGAGCTGCAATACGCCAATAATTGCCGGGATACTGAGGCATTCAAAATTCTGTAACCAATTATTGAAGATTTGGGGTTATTGTTATATAAGTTCTTTGTAATTTCCTATGTGATTTTTGTGATATTCTGTAAGTTTGACTAAAGATTAATAATCAATATATGAACATTTGCAAACAGCATTTCCTTAATAAAACAGCTGCCCAGGAATGTCACCTCTTATAGTTGTGAGAATTAATTAAGGTTTTCATTGGTCTTCAGTCAGTGAGACATGCTCCTGGTTTATGGCAGATTGTTAAAAGATTTTAATATAAAGTGTTCGACAAGCTTAGTTGTGGAAGATTTATAACAATATTCAGTTCTTACTATGCTATCAGATCATATATTGCATTAGTTGGACACTAGGAGAAGTCAGAGTATTCCTTACTATTCACCAATGGCACTAAAACATGGTGAATAAAATGCAAAATAATTAAGTGACACACTTTCTTATACAAAACATGACAGCAATGTCAAAAACCTTTATTAACTGAACATATTGCAGATTTAAAACATTTATAAATGTCACTTATTTGTAAGAGAAACCACCCAGAGAGTGTCTGGTTTTTATTTACAAAACAAACTGTAGAGTAACAGTTTAAAATAATTTGCATGACAGTGGCCATAATCAGTGCCATTTCAGCGATTGTTTTCCATGATGATAAACCAAGTTAAAATCAATCTAATTCAGCTACAATGAAATCATAAATGAAGAGAAGTCAGCCACAGAGACTGGTGCATATTAAAACATAGTAGGTTTTTCTGTAATTAACTGGTGGGGAAAAAACATTGGCCACAGTCAAAGTCCTCCGCCATTCTCTGGCGTTAAGTTTCACAACACCAGACTTGGCAGTGAAAATCCATTTCATCATCTGTGTTTGCTGCCAGCAGACAAAAAGTCCCTCCGTGTCAGCCCGGGTCTCCAGTACTCCCTCAGAGTAGGAATATAAGTGCCGTGCTTGGTCTTGTAGTAGCGCTTCATAAACAGCTGAGGGAGGTAGAGTCGGTTAGGAAAGACAAAGCAAAGTATTTAAAATTTACTATAGTTTGTTGCCTTTTCAAACCAAAGTTTGACATAGTGTACTGTTTCTGAAACACACTCCAAGCACTTGTCAATGACTGTCTTGTTTGGTGAATCTCTGCAACATTATATTCCTCATGGTGAATTAAAATTTCTTTTTTAATAAATCAAGAACTTAAAGTAATAATCTCTAAGATTTTGATTTAAATAAATGTCTGTTAACTCTATCGCTGAATGAGTCCACACTATGGTGCTAGAGGCTGTGGCCCACTGATGAAAGCCCTTCATTTGCAGTATTACAAACTCTGTCGGTGGCGACATTCCCAGAAAAGTTTTGGTTATGTTTGTTTGTCAAGTTAATTGAACATTTCCTACGTGTTAAAAATCATTTAACTGGCAAAACATGAGTTGGCTTGTATTATGACGTAGTCACAGGAAATGCAATGTGTTTGTCAGTGAGATTAGCACTGACTACTATCTTTCATATCATCATATTTCACACGTGGCCCCTTAAAATGCCCCTGGAAACCCTGTTTTCTCATGTTTTGGGAATACATACCCTGCCTTTGAAGTTCTTTGTCGCCTCATCCTCAGAATCAGCAACGTAGTCTTCACCATCTCCTGGAAGGGCCGGCGTCTCTAAACAGAACAAACAGTTTCTCTTCATTGTTTGTTTTTATTATTCTATAATAAATATATATTCAAGTAACATAAATTGTTAAATCACCTGTGTTACTCCGCTGCTGAGAAGGAGAGCTGCTTATACCCGGTAATACAGGATGATTTCTGTCACGCAAAAACATAACAAATGTACGTTTGTAAGCATTAAATCATAGTTTCGACAGCTGGTAAATGGTGAATGGATCATTAAACAAACTTCTTCCTGATCTGCTTTGCTAGGGATGTTTATAATTTAAGTCTAAAGACAACCAGGAAACACTGATGTTGACACAGCTCCTGGTTGTCTTTAGACTTAGCTAAATTTTTCTGTTCAATTCCTGCTATTCTAAAAAGGACATAATAGTGTACAAATACTGTCTCACAGAGAGACAGAAAAACCAAATGAAACCGGAAACATTGAATTAAATCAGTTGTTTTTATTATTTATATTTAAGTATTAGTCTATTTTATACATCAGTAATATTGTTATTAAAAAAATGTAACTTAGCAGGTTGTTTAAGCTAATGGTTGCATTTCTACGATACACACTTGACGTAATTTGAAGGCGCACTGTATTCCCATGTCTCTTACTCTTTATCATCCAGGCCAGGAAAATCCAAGTCAGGCTTTTGAGGTTGGTTGCTAGCATGTGTTGGAGCTTTGACTGGCGACTTCCTCCTCTGACTCCGTCTATGTTTATGTAAGGACTGTCCTCCCCTATCAGTCCTGTTTGCGCTAGGATAGGTCAGTGACAGATTTTCAACAATAACTCTGGGTTGGGTGATCAGACAAGAGACAAAAATGGAGCGGAGGAATGGATCTTCAGGCAGGCGCAGCGTTTTGACCCCCAGCTGGTTCATACGGTTTGCCACGGCTGCTCTGTTGCACTCCTCGTCTTCTTCGCTCTCATTTGTCCTCTGGTCGCCTCTCCCCTCCCTGAGCCCGCTCGCTCCACTTCTCAAACTCCTGCTTACCCTATTTTTCCTGGACGAGGTCATGACTAACACTTCTTCCCCCTCATCGGATTCACTTTCTCTCATGTCCGCTTGCTTGCGTTTTACTCCACTGCTCCTTTTTGAGGCGTTCCTCTCCACCTCCACTTGCTCTCCAAGCTCTTTCACTAAATCATCTTTGGGGTTTTGTCTCTGTTTAACCACAGTGAAAGTTAACTTCTCTTTTGGGTCCAAGTGCTTATTTGTTGCATTGTCCCCTCTCAGTGTCCTTTTATTGGCAGAGATCATAATTGGTACGTCTTCATTAGATATTAGTCTGATAACAGGTGTAATAAATGGCGTTTTAGCTCTTGTCTGTGTGCTGTCGGACGGGTCCACAGCAGCACTTTTGGCTCCTGCTGGCTCATCTGACGGTACTCTTCCAGAGGGTGGAAGAGAAAGGGAAGCCAGGATGGAGTCTCCCATGTTTGGAGGGAGGGATGCTGTAAAAAGCAAACAACAACATTAGGAAAAATGCCAATTATTAGAAATCTACATCAAAGGCCTCACTGTTACAGTCATCCTGGCAAGAAGCTAAGAAGTCATCTAGTTCTACCTGCAGTCTCCAGATGACCCAGACAGGTTTGATGCTGAAGCAACAGCTTCAGGAGCTGCGGTTGGGTGGCTGCCCGCACACACTCCTCCAGGACAGGGGGGGCTTCACTGAGCCACGAAACAGTCTGGAAACAAATTATTGATATATAACCAGCTTTTATTCAAAGCTACGTTTGTTTTGAATCCAATTTTGCTATAGTAGAAACACACACTGTAAATCAGTAAAGATGTCATTTGACAAAAACAAGGGACGCTGCTATCAGAAGCACCTGCTACCTGAGCTAGGCTGGGAACTGGAAGCAACTGGTCCAGTCGAATCAAAAACTCCCACAGCAGCTTCTCCAGTTCCTGGTCAAACTTTGGACCATAATCCAGAGGAAACTCCTCCTGTCAGAAGAGAGAATAAGAATTGTTTGGCCGTTCCTACGTACACAAACTGAGAAATTATCACAATAGAGTCTGGAGTTGCTGCTGCTGCGCGATGGCAAATCAACACTAGTAGAGGGACTCACCTTGAAGAACTGCTCTCTCTCTGCTGGGTCTGTTAGCAGTGCATGAACCAATAAATGGAAACTTTCCACAGTTCGCATAATTTTTACATCCCTCTAGGAGACAAAATAGCAAAAATTACACTTTTTCCATACAAATGTTAAGAAAACTTGCTTTAACATAATGAATCAGACAAGCCTTGCAAAGATCTCAGTAATATCAAATATTATATTATATTGACATGCATTACAGTTTTCTGAAATGGAGTGATTATAGTCTAGCTAGCAACATTGCTAATGACCCACCCATACCAGGTGACCCCCTACCGTAGCTTAAATACTGTTATACAGACGAATAGTAACACTCAAAACACTGTACTATCATCTGTGTCAAGGTAGAGTCAAAGAAATTGTGATGTTTAATTCTGTAATCACCTCCAAGCTTTACTGACAGTGGATGTAATGAACAGATGTTTGAAATAAAAGCCCACAAACCATTTACAGTGATTAAAATGGCAATGCAGAGTTTTTCTAATTTACCACAGCAGGAGCAGAGGAGGGGGACGGGGCAGCAGGAGCACGGATCCTTTTCAAGTGTGGCAAAATCACCTTTTCATCCGGCTGTGTACAGCACAGCTCCAAGATTAACTGGAAGGAAGGTGAAGGTTGATGAACCGTGCAGCATGTATACACGTCAAGCCAGGGATATAATACTGACACATACATTATAAAGTAATCAGAAGGGAATATAATACACTCTGACACAGAAGTAGGAGGGGAGACTAAAAGAGACTGCTGTCATGGGAGTCGCACATCAAAATCCCAATCCTCTTCTCCTGTAAACTCACCCGCCCTCTCAGCCCCAGTGCCAGCTTGCCCTGGTGTCTCACGGTGAGCAGCCCGGGGACAATCTCACAGGCTGATGTCACAAAGTCCTCCACAACCCCGTACTGCATCACATCCCTCTGCTTCATCACTTTCCAGAGGGCTGCAGACACCAGACGCACAGGCGGGGCCAGGAGCTGAAGTGCAGCGAAAGGAAGGCTGGCATCTGTGCAGGAGACAAAGCATGGCGCAAACAATGATGTAACAGTGGCTACTAATCTTGCTGCTATTTTGTCTCTTCTGCTCTGCCCGTCTGTGCTTCTTGTGCAATGTCTATGAGGTTGTCTGGTTCTTTCTTGTTTAGATAGGCTATGTTTGTCATTATTCAACCATGTCTGTTGTATGGTCTGACAGTTCGGCTTGTGTGCGTACGTTTTTTTTCCTCTCTCTTTTGGTATAATCAACTTTTACTGTATTGGTCTTAATCTGTATGTACTATTTTTAGCTACCTCCTTTTATCTTTTTAGGTGTATATAGCAGGTTTAAACAGCAGATATAAAAAAGCCTGTTGGCTAATTCTGGCACATTATACATTTATTTATTATTATTGTGCATTGTCCCTGCTCAATAAACCTGAAAATAAATTAAATTACTAGGTACATTCATAGGAGCTAATCTGACTAATGGGTTGAAAAATTCTGCATGCCTTGTCCCTTTCAATTGATTTAATGCTGCACCACTGGCCACAACCCAGTCAGTGATGCTACTGCAGAAGTCTCTCTGCAGTACTTGCCTTAACTTTCCTTGCCTTAAATACTTTATACTAACTATGTTAATGGTTATGCACCTAAATGCCAAGGCAAATTCCTTGTGTGTGTTAACCTGTTTGGCAATAACTCTGATGCTGAGCTTTTAAACTTTAACCAGGTTTTTCACCACAATATGTGACAAGAACCGTTTCAGTCTGTCGAAAACAAAACCTTCACATTGAGTTTTAACGTGCTCCCAGCTGTTAACACTTACCATTCTCCTTTTGTTTTCTTGTAGCCATCCCACTGACTCAGTCAAAGTCAGCTAGGTAAAGATAGGGACGTTAAACAGAACAACAGAAACTAATGTTAGCTTAGCAACTTAAACAGACTGCTCCCCGAGTAAGCTGAAGCGGAACTAACAGTTCACCCGACGTTATTCAGGAAACCCTGCTGAGGTTATGTTTACTAACTCAGATGTTGTTGTGATGCCTGGGTTTATCGCTGCTGTTGTTCAGCCGGTGGACACAAAGCTAGCAACTCCTCTATCAAAAGTTCTGCTTCTCATCCTCCCGCCTTCACCGCAATAACACCAGTCGTTCAACTTCGTACTCGGGGGGTCCCGGACTGGCGGGGCTCCGAGCACTTGGAAGGAAAGACAACGGCGTAAACAAGTAACTCCGTCCATGCGCGCACTGTAATATACTAAGCAAGCGCACCCAGAGCTGTTTTCAGGATGTGACGCAGCGGATCAGACAGCCGTTGCGCCCATCTGTTTTTACTGCTTTGAGTAAATATGTTACGCTCGCAGTATTAAAACAACAGAAAATAGTATGAAAAACAACAAAAAGAGGTATTAAAACAACAGAAAATAGTATGAAAAACAACAAAAAGAGTATTAAAAACTACAAAAATATTATTAAAAACAACTAAAAACAGCATTAAAACAAAAGAAAACCGTATGAAAAACAACAAAAAGAGTATTAAAAACTACAAAAATATTATTAAAAACAACTAAAAACAGTATTAAAACAACAGAAAATAGTATGAAAAACAACAAAAAGAGTATTAAAAACTACAAAAATATTATTAAAAACAACTAAAAACAGCATTAAAACAAAAGAAAACCGTATGAAAAACAACAAAAAGAGTATTAAAAACTACAAAAATATTATTAAAAACAACTAAAAACAGTATTAAAACAACAGAAAATAGTATGAAAAACAACAAAAAGAGTATTAAAAACTACAAAAATATTATTAAAAACAACGAAAAACAGCATTAAAACAAAAGAAAACCGTATGAAAAACAACAAAAAGAGTATTAAAAACTACAAAAATATTATTAAAAACAACAGAAAATAGTATTGAAAACAACAAAAACAGTATAAAACAACAAAAAATTGTATTATGACAATGGACCAGTGACAAGGCAAAACAACAACAACATACTCTGTAAAAATACAGTATAATTATATCCCTACATTAGAATTAAAATTGTTTAAAAGATTCTTTCATATTGCAAGATATTAATGTTGTTGTTATGTTTATTACGTTAGAAAGTTAGATGTATTAGAGACAAACTGCATGCTATATCAGCACCATTGTATGTGCCAATAAGTAGCATAACAATCAGCATTACATACAGTAGTTTATGCACCAGAGAACTTGATTTAACTTTACTTGTAAACTGTAAAATGTCCCAATCAATACACATTGTGGTCAAAATTCCTAAAATAAAAAACAAATATTCAGGATCCTTATCAAAAAAACTGTGTATTTATATGTTCATATAAAAACAAAAGACTATTAAAAACTTGTATCAGTACTGAATTTTAAGAAAAATCCAGTAAAGCTACTTTAAGGCAGTTTATTTATCATTAGGCCTATTCAAGACAAAGCAACAAGATGATTATATGGCGGTAATAATAATCAGCTTCAGATAAATCAGATAAAGAAATGGTTGTCTCTGTCTCTCTCACACACACACACACACAGGCGAGATGAACTTTGCCCCGTGATGTTCTGTATCTAAGTTATCACCATGTTCGAGGCAAAGTCCAGCTGCTGGGTCAAACACAAGCAGTACTGACATTTCATTACAATTTGTGACACCTAAACACATTACAAAAAACTAAGGCTGTTTGCAAAAGAGACAACGAGAGATTGGCAAGCATGGATACCACCTCTTCATTTATCAAGTAAGTGAAGAATCAGTTTTGGCCTGTTGACATTGTATTAATTTGCTTTATGATCCATTTGCTTGATAAACAACCCAAACAACACGTTTGGCTGTTGAAGCCTATGAATTAATGTAAGTAAGTAATTAATTCAATGATATAGCATGTAATGTAAAGCTATGTTATATTATGACATTTATCAAGCCTGTGATAATGGGCAGGGGCAACAATTTCAGCGAGTTTTGACAAAACTAACTAAAATATTTGATTATTTTAAGTCAATATTACAACTGAACTGGATGACATAATCTGATTTAATCAGGTAATAAAGGTGACAAAAGGAGTATTAATGTGTAAAACACCACTAGAGGATCCACTAGACAAGGGCTGGGGGAAAGGGGACCTTGTCATCAGGCCTATTTCACAGAAGACATTTTGACATGTCACTCTGGGAAATGTAAATAATAAAATTAATGATTTCCATTTAGCTGCTTCAGTTTCAGGGTCCTTGTGTTGTGCATGATGGGTCACATTCACACTCTCAGGGCGTAATGAAACATTTAAATAGTTAATTGTTACTGTTATCAGTCCTGTGCTTTCTCCAAATGTCTGCTGTGAGGATCTCAGACGATCCAACACATAACTGAATTACCTTTCTGTCCGGTCTTTCCTCAGATCTGTAACCAAGAGAGTGTGGTCTCCACCACAGCGTCCTTTCAGAGTGTGTTGTCACAACAGAGAGACCAGGAAGGGCATCACAGCCGGGACCCTAGAGGAACTGAAAGAGAGGGTGAGAGTGGCTGTGAATGATAAATAATAATGGAAAGAAATGAAAGAAAAGGTTCTGATCAGGGTAAAGCTGCTTGAAGTGTATATTATATAATAAATACTGTAATATTATTTGATAAACTTGAATAGGTAAAATGTAAAAAGACAAATTTATGATAAAACAACCCACTCATAAGTGGCCAATTTGAAATAAAAAAGGATAAAGGTTCAAATATTAAAAAAAGAAAAAATATTTCACATGTAATACTCATTAAAGATGGAAACATAAGCAATTTTTGTCAGAATGAAGCATAAAATTAAATTACTTAAAGCTGGGTAATGTTTAAAATATCAATAGTTCAACAAGTGAATTAAAATAAAAGTTATTTCGTCCTAAATCCTCATAAAGGACATTTCATTATCTCAAAAACATGGCATCATCAAAGCCTTATTATAATGTGCTGCCAGTTTAAGTCCTCAGTGCACTCTGAGAAAGCTAGAAGCATGACAGGGATGGAGGAATTAAACCTCCTAAGTCAAGTTAATATGTCAGACATCCTGCTTTGGTTTCTAATGGGTTGACTTTACTTTACACATTAACATATTGTTCTCTTCTCTCACATACAGCAAAGTAAAATTACAGTAAAGACAAGAGCTTATCTTTCTGATTGTATACATATTAATCCAGAGCAACTTCATTCTGTGCTGTAGGTATGTCAGGCCTTGCTGCTGTCCCTGTCTGCAGTGTCTCTGTTTCTGGTTTGTGAGGAGGACGGTACAGAGGTAGACTCCGATGAGTTCCTCATGACCCTGCCTGACAACACCATGCTCATGGCCCTGCAGCCTGGACAGACATGGAAACCTCAGTCGGTATGTTTGACCAAAGAAACCAAATGTTATTCATTATATAATTTTATATATACAGACAGAGAGAGAGACAGAGAGAGAGAGAGAGAGAGAGCCCTATAAGTGTTTGCTATACCTCACACAGGCTCGTTTAAAACTGATGTTTGGCTCCTGTGGGTTTTGGTATATGCATGATACACTATAATGACACTTAATGTGTTGTCTTTTATCCCCCAGGGTTCAGTTGTGTCCAGATCTCAAGACCACAACAAGCCCCGGACTGGGAGAGACATAGCTCGTGTCACCTTTGACCTTTACAGAACGAGCCCAAAGGACGTCTTTGGCTCCCTGAATGTGAAAGCAACATTTCAGGGCCTATACTCTGTGAGCGCCAATTTTCAGTGTCTGGGGCCCAAGAAAGTCCTCAGGTAAGCTTAAAGGAAGACGGTGATATATACATTCTGTCTCTGTGTCCTTTGTTCATCAGTCTAACCATAATTTTCTCCCTCAGAAGAATTTCAGTGCACAGCGCCAGTGATAAAACCATTTGACACTAAATGTGACTCGAGCCAGCTGTTACGCAGCGAGGAATCAATACAAAATCATACTGATGACACTTTATCTGGTTTTCAGAGAAGCCCTGCGCGTAGCCTCCTCCCTCCTATATGCTGCTGGACACCTGCTTATCACCTCCGCCTCCATGATCCGCCGCATTATTGAAGGCGCTGAGATCTGGCAGCCGCAGAGGACAGAGTACACAGCCAGCTGGAACTGACGGAGCCATGGGAGACCTCTTTAGTTGTGACAGAGTAACTAGCATCGCATTGATTAGCCATTGTACTGTATAATATAATAAAGTGCTGTTTACTGCCTTAAAATGGGGGGGGGAATAAACCACTTTTTTTTTTTTTTACATGAACATCTGTTAAGGTAGTATCTGTATACACTGTAACACTGATACTCTTATATGGAGTGCTTGTATGACTGTGTATCATGTTCTACCTAATATTTCGGCTTTACTTCAGGTTATATATAGAATGAAACAGACATATATACATGTATTCATTTATTGTTTTACTGTACAGCACTTTGTGTCCACTTGGATTGTAGGGTGCTCTATAAATAAATTTTGATTGAGTGATTGAAACAGACAAAAAAGAAACACCAATTTTTAAGGATTAAGTGTCAGAAACTGATGTAGCTGGATAACATGAGAATGAGTGTTATAGCTGTTAAACTATTTTATGTGCAATATATATTCCCCATAGTATCCTAAAATTGTACTATATTATTGTTAATTTGGTGTGGATTATGTCAGGTGACTTTCTGTCTTTCTACGCTCTGAGATTACAGATGATAAACTGCTGAAATCAAATGGTTATTAATGTGATCTGAAACACTGCTTTCTTTTTATAAAAAAATAAATATTACAGTAATGAGATTAAAGTTGTCATACATTTTGTAGTTTATTAATGCTTTGATGTAACTAATCATAAGAAGAGTCATGGTCCAACAACAAGCAATGAGTGTTTTTTTACAGCACAATTACATCGACGTGAAACTGCATCTAGCTTGCAAAAGGACATGTGCATTCATGTTATCAAACATGTCAAGTCATCACAATAACAGCATAACAAACAATGTGCTCCACATGAAACAAGAATGCGTCGTAACTGGGCAATCTTTTCTCAAACATCTGTGTAACATCTGTCTCAAAGTACAACATAAACAGCTTGATCCTACCAATAATGAACCAATTACAAGTCATAAAACAGCCTCTGATACATCTTTCTAACTTTTGAGAGACGGTTCATCGTTCCCCTCAGTGGGAGGCTGTGGCATCATTTCTAGTCTGGAGGCACTTGCACTATCTTCCATGTTGATTTTCTCCCGGCGTCACCCAGCTGTGCCTTTGCCAGCGTGTTCAGGCACTGCCGGTACCGGATGTTGGCCAGTGCCTGTTTGTGCTGCTCTTTGTTCATCCAGCGCGGCTTTCTTTTCTTGATGTGATAGCGCATGTCTCCGAACCACTGGACCAACATGTGGCGGGGGGCGCCAATCAGCATCGACAGGCGGTTGTATTCCTCCCTGTCTGGATACTGGCAGCGCAAGAAAGCCACCTTCATCATCGCCAACTGCGCCCGCGTCTTTGTGTTGCTGTAGATCGGAGAGCAACCGTCTGCAGCCACGGCCTCCTTTTCTGTTTCCCCCTCAGAGCCACTTTTCACAGGGGTCATTCGAGTGTCTGTGGTCCTGTTGTCAGCGAGTGGAGGCCCATTACAGGCTTGAGTTTGAGACAAGGGGGTGAGCAGAGGACTTGTATCCAGCGGCTCATCGGGCACCACGAAGCTCTTGTCGGCAGGCCACTCTTGGATGGACTGTAATCTGCTGTATGCTTTGGCCGTCATTTCCTTTCTGGTGGAAAGTGGTGTCTCCAGCTGCGTGGATGTGCCAGACTCCCTCTCATCTTCATCGCAACTTATTTCTACTTCTCCTGCTCCCCCCACGACACCCTCATCCCATCGCTTCACTCTCTTCTTTCTCATCTTGTATGTCGCTGTCACCAATTGGCGCTTTCTCTGAGCATTCCTTCTCTCTTCCTCTGCTTCTCTGTCCCTCTCTTTCTCCATCTGTTGCTCCTGCTTAATTTTTTTCTCCAATCGTTTAGTAGCCTTCACTTTTTCTCCCATCCTCCTTCCCTCATCTGCACTCTGTTCCTCTCTAACCCCCCCTGCCTTCTTCCCACCAGGCTCTTTTACCTCTCTTTTGCATTTCTCATTCTCTCCTGTGTCCTCTTTTACCTCCTCCTGCATCCTGTTTTGCACCTCGGCTGTTCTTTGAGCTGACTTGAACTTCCTCCAAACCTCACAGATGTCACTATAGTCCCAGCTGATGCCATAGCGGAGCCTCTGTACCATGAACCACACCTTCACCTGGTCCGGGTGTAGGGAGCAGCGCTGCGCCAGTGCAGCTGTCTGTTTCTGTGTCAAATACGGAAACCTGTCGAACGCCTTGTCCAGCTCTGCAGCACCATCCATCTGTAGGTTAATTTGGTTTGAGTGAACCCATATAAACCTCTGACTGTCAGAGACCACGGGCAGACACACTGCACTGTTGTGGTTCAGAATGAAAACCCCGTTCATTTCTGATAAAGTTGGAGTCTCTACACGAGCGCCAGGTATCTTTTGCCTTATCTCCCTCATCTGTGATGATGACTCCTGCAAAGGGCAGACACACAGAACGGGTTGGTACCCAAAGAAAATATGTATTTATGGTTACATATTATAAAAGAGTAAAATAAAATAGAAACACTGAAAGGTAATCATCTGAACACACTTTCATCTTTTACTCAGTAGTTGTGACAATACTGTAAGAAGATATACACTTGTCACCTGTTACAGATTTTAAAATACAGTTTATATAGTCGTAGATGTCCATTTAATATTTCTGGTTAAATCTGGCGATTGTTGGGGTAAATCAGTGAGGAGGATTGTTTTGATGTCAATCTGAAGACTTGAATTTTTCACTGGATAAGCTTAAAATAGTAATTTCTATGTCAACAGACCAACAACTGAAATTCCAGAAAATGTATACATGATGTAAAACAAAAACTTGTTTAATAGAGGTTGTTAATGTTTCATACTGAGAAGAAGTGAGATTTACAGGCATATCAACATGCTGCAGGAGTGGTTGAAGAACTCAGATCCTTTATTTACTGTAAGTGAAATTAGCAACTCCAGAAATACTACATTACAAGTAAATGTCCTGCATTGAACTGTTAAAATTGTACATATTATGTAATATGAGCAAAATATAATTCAGTTATCAAAAGATATTTTCACTTTCTAATGATTTAATGATAAGGTTGCAGCATTTCAAGGTTTGTAACATTGGAGTTAATTTTAACTGTTTAGCTTACTACATTTTAGTTTAATCTATATATCATCATATTTCGTGTGTAGATCACGTTTTTTAGCAAAGTTACCTTAGTTCTTAGATAGAACTGAAACTCACAAAGTAATAGCCTATAACGTTAGTGCAGAAAACCAAAGTACAGTAACTTTATAACCCTCTGAAATGCAGTGGACAAATAAATATAATAAAAATACTTTAACCCTAAACCTTAACGTTAGTTTAACTTAACAGTTTGGTTAATATCACTGTCCATTGCCACAGAAGAAGGGTTAACGTTAACTAAGTTAACTTAAATATTAACTGCCCCGTATTTACTAAATAATTGACTAACGTTAAACCACTCACGTGTTTAATTAGCGTGAAATTAATTTGGGTAAAAATACATAGAGTGCTAACATTAGCTAACTTCACTCAAGTTCGCGCTAAACTCACGTTTTGTCATTTTTTGCCGTTTGCCAATCGTTAATTAGTCTAACAATGCTAACCGAGTCTGCGGTAACATAACGGTCACAGTAACAAATCATTGATTACCGTCACTGATCGATAGTGCTGCGTCTAATAACAATATTTGTTAGCATTAGCGGAAACGTTAGCTAGCTAATAGCTTAGTGAGTTAACCGAAGTCCATTGCTCACAATGCACACACATGTCAGCTTTCTGTTACAGCAAACTTAGCTATTATTTTCTTAATTATTAATCTTTTCAGCGGGCAGTATCAAGAAGACACCACACACACCACTAACTTTACTGATGAAGGGGCTGGAGGTCCTACCTTCAAGAAATATGATGAATGGCAGGTGATTTTTCTGCTGATCTGGTTCACACATGCAGGTAGTTGATCCAGATGCATAAACACTCCTTAATGAGAAGTTTGTTTGGTTAACGTTAACTAACTTCAGTGATAATATCTTATCTCATGAAGTGTAGTCTCCCCGGCATTATTTATGACATGTTCAAAATAATACAAGTTGATGAACATATGGATTATTTAATAAAATGTCCCATCAGCTGACAGTTTATTAGGTACACTTAGCTGTAACTTCCCATACTACAGACATACAATAAATCCCACCCTTAATAAGGTTATGGTGATTAGAGAGATGGTGGATTGAGTGTATAGTTAGAAACACCCTAATACAATTTAAAAGCTCCAGGGCCCTCTCCGGTAGAAGGAGAAGGTGTTGAAGCAAAGGAAGAAGGGAAAGAAAGTTACAGCGATGATGAGGATGAGAGATGCATGGTGGAAGAAGAGAGAAGTCATAAAAAGGATGTTGACCCAGGTTTGTGGCCAGCAGATTTGACTGACAGCCAGGCTTTTTAAAAATCTTTCATTAATGTTAAGATCATTTTATCCCTTAATTTTACAATTAAAATTATTAAGACTGTAAAAGATTTTATTGAGGACGTTTTTATGGTGCCTTAAATCTTGAATTTGTGAACTGCACACAACTGGCCCCACCGGGTCAGTGGGTTTGAAACTTACTGGCCCAAAGACAGTTTTTACAGGCCCTCCCTCCAAAAGTTATTTATCAGTGTTACAACAAAACCAAAGACTTATAAGTTATGTTATACTGTTAACATATTTAATCTGTTAATAAATACATCCTGGATATAAAACAAACTAAAATAAAATGTAATCACAGTTAAAATTATAAAAAATAAAAAGGTAATAGTTAACAAAACAATTTACTTTTAAAACAAAACATACTAACAGACTCAAACATGACGTGCTCTCTCTCCTGTTGACAGCCATCTAATAAAAATGTACACAGAGCAGGGGACACAAGTTGCCTCGATCCTGACTGACAGGTCGGAATGGTAGTGACCTTTCAATCACAAGGTAGCTCCGCCCAAAAGCATATGCTGCATTATTGTCTTTTTTCCTCTAAATGGGACCATAATTTACTAAATGAACATCATGCTGGCTTGAAGAAGACTTGAAACTAGCGACTGAGACCATAAACTCATTAAGAAAGTGTTTACTGAGGTAATAAATCAGCTGAGAATTAGCAACATTTTACCATTATTTCTAATGGAACCGGGCTTCTTTTTGCAACCAGCTGTCTCGCCCCCTGCTGGCCGTTATTATGAATGCAGGTTAAAACTCCGTCTGCAAGGTTTCACTTTCAGACCCAGAGATTCCGCTTGATTGAGATTAGAGAAATAACATTTGACAACCACTCGTCGCGTAACTACAACTCTGGATTGGACAACGGTGCGCGCCATGAGCTGCAAAACAACTGCCGGATGTTGAGTTTCTAACTTTTTTTTAAATACTAATGTTTTTGCACTGGCCCAATCGGGCCTTAATTGAAGTGTTGTGAATGATTAAGTTTTAGGAGTTGTAACCACCAACTAATTTAGTTTAAACTGCAATTTTTCTACTTTTTTCTGCTTGCCAGTTTAAGGTGTTTGTCTCCACCTACTGGTGATGAACTGGTCATTGCTCAGAATCAGAATCAGAATCAGTTTTATTGCCAGGTGTGTGTGCACATACGAGGAATTTGACTCAGGATTGTACATTGCTCACGATGTGCTTACTTATACAATAATACAATAATAATATAATAATAATAAAATAAAATCAGACACAAACTACAGAATAGACAACACTAATATACACACTATGAACAAAACAATATAGACATTGACAAATAGTGCAGTGATCAGAGTGCAAAGGATGCAAGAATAAACTATTCTCATTATGTACATGTTGAAGGTGGATATGATATACAGGTACACATACATGCATACATGTACACAGTGTGATGGAGCGTAGTGCAAAGGATGCTGGAAAAAATAAATAAGACCTATGACCTCATGACCTGAGGTAGGTGTATTGGAATTTGTGTCTTTTGCATCGTTCATACACTGCGAATTCGCTGAATAATAAAGCCAGAAAATGTTTAAAATGTGGAATGTTTTTATTGACTTCCATTTCCATACCAATGTGGCAATAGAAATGAAACAACACAGATCAAGTTACAACAAGTCCTGATGTCTTTGACATACAAGGAACTTCTTGTTTGTTTTAACCCACATAAAACCAAAGTGCCACAGCAACTTATGGTTCCCCCTTCGACTGCCCGGCAACATTAAGGTGAAGACTTCTTTATGCTAAACTAAGCTAGGGTCTCCAGGGTGTAGCTTTAAACTATAAATTCTCATCTAACTTTCGGCAATAAAGTGAATAAGCAGATTTCCTAACATGTTGAACTATCCTTTTAATGACATTTAACTATTTAGTTGAGTTTGCATTTAGATCATCAGAATTCAGCAGCCTGAGATAAACTAAAATACGTTACCGGAATAAGGGTCTTCTTGCTACTGCTGGTCTACCTCCATTGGGATCTCAATCATAGTGCAGGAGTCAGACGATGCCACATTACTGCATGGTTCATTGCATGCATGGTATCTGCCTTTGGTAAGTTATTCATAAAATGATGAGCTTTAGTTAGTTTCTATGTGATCCAAGAAACATTTTCATAAGCAATGAATATTGTATAATAGCCCAATGTACATCTTTTTAAACAATCATTGCTCATCTTCAGTCAGGGCTTGGCAAAGACTTAATGAGCACTTTTTGTTCTGGTTTATTTCAGTACACCAGCGCATTAACATTCATTCAAATAATTACTGATTAATGTAACACTATTTTCGTGTACTGGAAGTTTGCATACTTTGTTTCACTGTTAACCGGTTGATTGGGTTAATAGTCAATTACACAACCATAGAAACGTGCTTATATCCTTTTCACTCTGTGACTTCTTATAAGTGTTAAAGAGTATGCACAAAATATGTTGTAAATATGCCACAGAAATTAAGTAATACAGTTCAGTTAATTTAATTATACCTAATTCAGTTTCATTCTTAAATCAGGTAACATGACATTGCCAAAGTGGTACATGAACTGGACACATACAAGTCAGTCAGACATAGTTATTTAAGATTATATTTTAATGTCATATTTAATTTGCACAGATAACTAGCAGGTAGACTCACCTGCAATAAAAATATAACTCCACTGTTAATTTCAAAGCTGCAGTTGATCATACATCGAGGAAGCATCCTTGTCAAAAATGAAAACACTTGAAGTTGGGACATGTGACAAACAACAAACAATACAAGCACATACAAACACAAATACAAGTTAACCCTCCTATTATCTTTGGGGTCAATGTTTAACATCTCTAAATAAATGACTGACATAATGTTTTGCATCATATTTAATGGCTTTTCCTAATTTAATGAGGACAGCTGGGTGAACATAAAATTAACATTATCATATGGTTTTAATGTCCTGTACAAATTTTATACGCATCAGTGTATAGATTTGTAAGTTTTCGTGTTGTAAGTGTTAATTGTAGTTTCCTGTGAAGTTTCAGACAGGAAACTGCTCTTCTCTCCTTGAGTCTTGTCTTGTGCCAACAAACCGGCAATCACTAGTTGCATAAAATAATTAAAAAAGAGCTCCCCCTCAACATTTACTACAATAAATATAATAAGATAATAAGAATATATACCCTCCCGCGACCTTGTATGCAGGATAAGCGGTTGACGATGGATGGATGGAATATATACCCATTGACACACACACACACACACACACACACACACACACACACACAAAGTAATTTTCTTAGACCTAAAGATGTACACATGTTCTTTAATCAGGTACGTTGTTGTAGTGTTTATTAGTATATCGTTAAGTGAGGTTATTCTAGCAGACGAATACATGCACACATACAAACATACAAGTCAGTCAGACATACTCTGTTACAGAGAGAGTGAAACATCCTTTTATTTCAGTAGAGCTGTTTTTTAAGCATATCATATCGTGCAGCATCAGTTTTTGCTTCTTTTCTCTAATTGTTACAACTTACCCCAGTAGTGGGATAGGTTGGTTGTAACAAAGGAACGCCATATTTGACATGAACTCACAAGGTCTGTTATGTTCTTGCAGTTATGGTCATGGTTGCCAGTTGATTTAGAAGGGACAGGAAGTGAGTTTTGGAAGTGAAACAGTCTCTGCACACATGACTTTACCAGCACATGGCTACATTTATTAGCTGCAATAGGGCTAGTCTGATAAAGTGAACATTCGTCCTCATGTTAACTGTTAAGACTGAGACTGTCTCTTCTTCTTTTTGTGAGTGCGTGAGTGCGTGTGTGCGCGCGCAGTGAAGTCTTCAACTGGGCAGTGGGCAAAGCACTGCGCTTGGCTGAAGAACACAATAACGGCAGGCTGTTCATCATGGTCTTCCTCCCCACTTCTTGGCTCACTAAGATTTCATAGTTTCATTTCAGTATTTACCTTCTTGCTCTCTGATCATGTGTGTTGGTTTTCAAGGGTGGAAACAGCCACATTCAGAACCTATATAGAGAATAAACTGATTTAGAGGTAAGAAAGTACATTTTTTGACCAAGACTGTATTTTGTTTAATAACTACTGCAGATAAAATTATATGACCTTTATTAGATTGAAATGTTTTTTCTAAAAGGCAACATGTGATGCCTTTCCCCGTGCCAATTTCAGACCACTAACGTTATGCTAGCTAAACAATGGCTTACAGGGGTGGGATGGGTTGTAACACTTCTTTAAAAAGTGTTAGGGCTAGATTAGGGTTCAAGTATGTTAGTTTAACTTAACATTTAGGCTGATATCACTTTCCATTGCCATGCTGCACAGGAGGAGGTTTAACTAAGTTAACTTAAACATAAACAGCCCCGTGTTTACTAAATAATTGACTAAATCGCTCTGGTGTTGAGTGTGAAGTTTGGGTAAAAATACATAGAGTGCTAACATTAGTTAACTTCAGTCAAGTTCACGCTAAACTCATGTTGTGTCATTTCTTGCCGTTCGCCAAACATTAATTAATCTAACACTGCTAACCAAGTCTGCAGTAACATAACTGTTAAAGTAACAAATCATTGATTACTGTCGCTGATCGATAGTGCTGCGTCAAATAAGACTATTTGTTAGCGGTAACGTTAGCTAATTTAGCTTTTAGCTAATAGCTTAGTGAGTTAACCGACGTTCACTGATCACAATGCACAAGACTGGTCAGCCTGCTGTTAAAGCAAAAATTAACTATTCTTTTCTTAATTATTAATCTTCTTCATGGGTAGTATCAAGGAGACACTGCAATAATCACTGACTATAAGCAATGAAGGGGCTGGAGGTCCTACCTTCAAGAATTATGATGAATGGCAGGTGATTTTTCTGCTGATCTGGCTCATCCATAC